ATTGGTGTGGAAATTGGTAACGGGTTGGACCTTCCTTTCTGAGGAATCTTGTTGTCATAAAATAGCCTGCGCTTGTTCCCCTATGAGTAGAAAGCTACAACATATGATTCGTCACACATCTGATGTGCGCACATACTGCTTCTGTAATTGGTACACTTCCTCATTCCCTTCTTCCAGCTTCCTCATTATGAGAGGCAAGGAACACGAAGAGGCCGAACGAAACTGATGTCCAAATAGGTTCATCCTTCCTTATTTCAGCGTAGGAACGGAGAGTCAAACTGTAACAACTTAGGGTACATTCTTGCCTCGTGTCTGACATCAGGTCATCCGCCCTTAGTCTCTGATTCGCCTCTTCCCAAGTTGATTTGCCCCTATTTCGAGCCACTTCGGGTTTTCCGAGCCTCCAAGGGCGGATGACCTGATGTCAGACACGAGGCAAGAATGTACCCTTATTCTGCTCTGGTACAGTGGAGACACCGGCAATCATTCAGCAAAACAAGGTGAATGTGCAGAAAACCCTCTTTGTGAAGAGCACTGAGCACAGGGGTTCAAATCCAATAACTATTTTTAGTACCACTGCATGAAGCACTGTGCACAGGAATTCAAATCCAACCCTTTCTTCTCCATCCTCAAAACATCTTCCTGCTGCAGCAGAGTACAACAGAAGCTGTGCATTCAACCAAATGCTGGAACAACTGCCAACCGCTGCCATGCAGCACATCTAGTCAACAAGACAAGAGCCTGCGACTGCAGTGCAGCACATCTAGTCCGCGAATGACGTGCAGCGCATCTAGTCGAAGAGGCTGAAGCCCATGTCATCGTCAGACTCCTCCTTCTCCTCCTCTGCCGGCTTGGTGACTTCTGCGTCGACTCAAAAGTCACCTCGAAAGCAGTTCAGTGCAGTGCATCTAGTCGAAGAGGCTGAAGCCCATGTCATCGTCAGACTCCTCCTTCTCCTCCTCTGCCGGCTTGGCCTCCTCCTTGGCCGCCTCCGCTGCTGCTGCCGGCGCTGCCGCCACCGCTGCCACCATGAACTTGGAAGGATCCTGGAAGCGGGGATTCGGGGATGGATGGAATGGGAGAAGCAGAGAATGCAGAGGGGGAAGTGATTGTTGATAGCAGGATTGAATGACAAATGTATGTAGTACATATACCGCTGGCCGACAAGGTCAAGGAGATGACCTTGTCGGCCAGCGGGGAGGTGTAATCATCCAGAGCGAGCGCGACGGGAACGACACGATTTGACAAACACGTGCGGCACAGCGACGAGCGTCGAGCAAAAGGGGGCATGAGTACTCAGCGAGGAACGCAAGGGAGAGGACTCACCGCGAGGATCTCCTTGACCTTGTCAGCCAGGGGGAAGGTATAGTCATCCAAAGCGAGCGCAATGGCGATGACGTTCTTGTACGAGTTGGCAAACACGTGCGGCACAGCGGCAATCGTGGGGTAGTCAGCGCCCAGGGAGATGGCGGCGACGTTGGCCACACCCGAGGCGAAGTGGCCCAGCAGATCGTCCTCTGACATGTCCAGGACGGAGGGGTGGAAGGTGGACCCATCGTCAAACACCTGAAAACGAAGGGCACAGAGGAAGAATAGTGGGAAGGAGAGAGGGGAGGATGGGAGAGTATATTGAGGGGAAGATGAGAGTGAGTGTGTGGGGCCACGGCTGGCAGCAGGCGGCGAGCTCAAACGCAAGTCCACAGGGACCCATCACACCCATGACCTCACCTGGTACAAGAAAGGGCGGATGCCTAGCTTCGTTCGTACGCAGCGCGGCCGCTGGTGTGGCAGGACAAGGCACGAATCGGAGAATCTACTGTGGCAGGGGAAGCGCTCGCACCGCAAAGGTACTCACGCGGAGTAAGGTGCCTCACCTGGTCCGCAACCACACCGTACGAGAAGGGGCGCTTATAATCACATGCTACAATCATTCCCCCGTTACAAGGTCTCACCTGGTCCACAACCAGCCCGTACGAGAACGGGCGGATGCCCAGCTTCGCCAGCAGCGCGGCCTCGGACGAGCCGACCTTCTCGCCCGCCCTAATCAGCTCCACGGGCGCGACAATCTCGACCGTTCCCTTGTTAATCTTGGTCGGGATGTTGAGCACCTGGGGATTGGGGAAGGGGGGGGAGGGGAGGAAAGAGGTGGGGGGATGGGGGAGAGTTAGCACCTTCTCGCCGCCCTAATCAGCTCGACGGGGGCGACAATCTCGACCGTTCCCTTGTTAATCTGGTCGGGATGTTGAGCACCTAAAGAGCGAAGGGGGTAGGGATGACAGGAGGAAAGGGACGATGGAATAGGGGAAGGTAACAAGGGGGATCGCCTTGGAATCCAGGCGACTATCATTGAGGACCCGTGAGTTTGAAGCATTTCCAAAATTTCAGAATTGCGTTTCATTTTCAGAACTGGAAACCCTAAACACAGAAGCAAACAGAATTTGTACAGCAAAAGCTGGCAAAGATCCGCGCCTCCATTGTTGCGATCCCACGGACCGGATCCCACGGGCCGCAACAATGCCAAGCCACTGCGCCATGGGTTCACGGCTTTTGCAATCTCACCTGGAAGAAGTTAGTCTGCGAGGGATCCAGTCCCGTGTTACCAGGTGGCACCACCACGTCGATGGGCGCAACCAGACCCACACGCGCAGGCGCGCCGACCTGATTGGCGGAAGGAGTTGAGGCAAGGGATAGGACAAAATAGGTAGGTTAGGGCAAAGTTTTGAAAAAAATAAGAGGTTCAGGGCAGAGTGAAAACAGTTCAATCACCCACATCCACACAACGACATAATGGATACATATACACTTGAAGATTCCGAATCCCAATGCGTCATTACTCGCGTGACTTGAGACTCCTACTATCTAGTACTTAGCAACCGTTTTGGACTCGCTTACCCACCTTCCAGACCAAACCCTCCCCGATCCCAACCCCAACCGCCGCAACGATGGCCTTCCCAGGTTACCCTGACCCCCTACCAACCATAACCAATCAGAACCGCTCCGAATCCCATCGAAACTACCGTTGTACATCCCAACTAAAACCGATCGAAACGACTCTTGGGATTGTTGAGAAGCACCTCGTACTGACTGCCTGTAACCGATCAGAACCGCTCTGAACCCCATCGCAACACACCTTGTACTTGGCGACCTCCTCGCGGACCTCCTTGAGGTCGCCCTTGGTGAAGATGAGCCCCACGTTGCCCTGAGATGACACGGTACGGTTGGGGGGAAGAGATGACACGGTAAGGATGGGGTGAAGAGGTGAGAAAACGGTAGGGATGACGAGAAAACAGACACCGCTCGAAGTACATGCGGATGGTACGCTTGACACAGACTCAAATAAAGAGTCTGCAATGTATTTAACTCCAGAAGCGGCAGCACGCCATTCTAAGAGGTGATCTTCGTGCGCTCGCAGTACATGCGAATCGTGCGCTCGCAGTACATGCGAATCGTGCGCTTGAGCAGCGTGTTCTCTTGCTCAAAAGCACAATCACTGCGAGACAAACTATAACTATACTCACCACGAGCAGCGGGAGAAGGCCGTTAAACGACTTTGCCAGTGTGCTCGCAGTACATGCGGATGGTGCGCTTGAGCAGCGAGGTCTCTTGCGAGCACGATCTCTGCGGAACAAACTAAAAGAAAATCACCATTATCATACTCACCACGAGCAGCGGGAGAAGGTTGTTCCACGAGGTATGGCCGGTGCGCTCGCAGTACATGCGGATGGTGCGCTTGAGCAGCGTGTTCTTGCCTATGAGCACCACCGAGTCGGGGCGCAGCCCGGCGCGGATGTTCTGCATCTGTTTCGACCCCACGTTGTCCGCCTTGCAGATCAACGCCTTGGAGAACTCCTCCCGCCAAAATCAGGGTTTCGGGCGCCAGGGGACAAGGGGATGAGGGGGCTACACTCACCACGAGCAGCGGCATCAGGTTGTTCCAAGAGGTATGGCCGGTGCGCTCGCAGTACATGCGGATGGTGCGCTTGAGCAGCGTGTTCTTGCCCATCAGCACGACGGAGTCGGGGCGCAGCCCGGCGCGGATGTTCTGCATCTGCTTCGACCCCACGTTGTCCGCCTTGCAGATCAGCGCCTTGGAGAACTCCTCCAGCATCAGCGACACCTTCTTGTCGTACGCCTGCTTCTTCTCCGCCTTAGTTCCCTTGAAACCCATTGCTGCTAGCTTGCTTTACTTTTGCTTACTTACGGGCTAAAAAAAAACCGCTTGTTTTAATACAAAATCTAGCGAATAAAAGGAGGTATGTACGGGACCTGAGAAGCCCAGAAAGGCCCAAGTCGCGCCGGAGCGGCCGACAAGGTGGGTAGCTGGACGGAGCTACCGCTTTAACCAGACAACGAGGTCGCGACGCCGGGAGGCGGGGAGCAGCGAAAAGCAGAAAGCTAAGGAGCGAAAAAGAGGGGGAGATTAGTTATGGGGGTGGGTATATGGGGACCGAACCATAGAGGATCAGAGGGAACTCGGTTTTTTGCGAAACGGGTTTAGCGAAATGAAGAATGTCAACGAGGGATGTCGCATCATGCGGGGAAGGGTTGGGAATTCTATTGAGTCTGTTTACGACATGTTTCGCTGAGACAGGGGATCATGAATCCCCCAAATGTGGTTATCCACCGAGCCCTTCTTCCCTCCCAACAGCTGGGATCCCCACCAGGGAGTTACCATCCTACTTCGTGAATGGTAACTCCGAAATCCGCGAAAACGTTCGCCCGCTATTCTAAACCCCACGCAGCTCGCATTTTGCACGCTGCGCCTTCGTCGACAGGGTGGGTGGGAACGGCCATTTCACTGCTCCACCCCTCACCACACCCTCCCAGCCAGCCCCGTCAAAAAGTGGAACCCAAGCAGCACATATCGAAATAGAAATCCGCATAACAGCCGTTCGACTCGTCGGCTACTCCCATTCTTCGCTGCGTGACTTACTCCGATCCGATCGCCACTCCGTTCTCTCTCCGTCGTCGCTTTCGTCGTCGCTCGCTCGTTCGCAGCGATGGGTCGCAAGAAGAAGTTCGTGGACAAGAAGAGCGCGGCGTCGTTCACGCTCATGTACCGCGAATCGAACGACCCCGATGCGCCCGGTGAGCGCGTCTTCGTGCGCACAGACCCCGGCAGCAACCACGTTCCGGGATTCTCGGACGACTACCAGCCGCCGATCCCGGAAAACGCGGAGGATTATAGCGGCGAGGAATGGGAGGAGGAGGATGAGGAGGAGGAGGAGGAGGGGGAGGAGGAGGAAGGGGAGGGGAGAAGCGTCGCCGGAAGCAGGAGGTCCCGAGCGCAGTCGCAGGCTGTCGCACGCGCGACTGATGGCGACGACGCGGCGTCGGTCGCAGGCCGGTCGCACGCGAGCACGAGGCGCGGTGGGGGGAGGGGGCGCGACTTATGGGCGGGCCTGGGGTTGGGCGGGCCGCCCGGGTGGGATGGGGGGAGCGTGATGGGAGGAGGAGGAAGCATGGCCGGCGGGCAGGGCAAGAAAAAACTCACCGAGAGCGCCCGGCGCGAAATTGTCGAATTAGGGTTACCCGACGACGGTTACGACTACACGCAGCACCTCCGGGTGATCGGACAGACGAGGACGTTCGCGTCGTTCGTTCCCGCCGAGGCGCCCGCGGCCGCGCTGCCCGACGACGTGAAGGTGCGATTGTTTTTCTCGGATTATCTACACGCATTAACGTCGGTTAGTGTACACCTGGTATCCACGTGTTTCGACCTTTGAGGCGCCTCAAAAGTCGCGCTGCCCGACGACGTGAAGGTGTGATTGTTGTATTCGTGACGGCAGCTGCTGTCCGCTGTTGCCATCCGCCATGCGCCCCCCCCCCCCCTCCCACAACCCCCCCTTTTCCCTCCCCTGTCAGCTTCGAATCCCCACGTGCTGCACTACACCACCCCCGCTCTTATAAGCATACTAAATATCCATACCCTTCATTGATATGCATCCGCCCACCGCAGATTTATAAGGCCACGCGCCTTACCGTGCGGCCCGACACGTCAGCTGCCACGACAGCAGCCGCCGACGCGCCGGTTGCTGACCTGGAGGTCGTGGCTAAGATCTCATCCGTCATCAAGGAGATTCGGCCGAAGCGGGGATTCACAGCCGCCGCGCCGCCCGCCCGCTCAGCTCAAAGCGCGGCGGCGGCTTCCGCGGGAGCTCAAGCGGGGGAATCCGCGGGCGGGGAAGGCAGTGCAAACTACCTAGGCGTTTCAGGGCTCGATCCGGAAGTTTTAGCGCTGCTAGAAGGGGACGGCGGAGCGGGGGAAGTGGGGGCGGGGGAGGAGGGGGAAGATGTTTTTGGGGAGCTAGAAGATGACTTTGTGCTGCTGGCGACGGCGGGGGGGGAGGAGGAGGAGGAGGCGGCGGAGGCGGATGAGGCGGAAGATGGGGGGAACGAGGTAGCGCGGGAAGGGGAGGGGGAGGAGTTGACGGAAGAGGCGGCGGGCGGGGGAGCGGCAGTGGATGCGGTCGTTGCGCCAGGCGCGGAAAGCCTTGCAAGCGAGGTTGAGGGTTCGGGGTTTAAGGGTGAAAGCGGAAAGCTTGGCGGGGAAGCGGCGGCGGGCGCGGAGGCGCAGCGGAGGGAGGCGGCGGCGGGCGGGGAGGAGGCGCGGCGGAGGGCGGAAGAGGAGGCTAAGAGCCGCGCCCAGGCGGAGGAGAATCTGAGAGCGCTGGAAGAGCAAGTGATGCTGGTGAGTGGTGCTTGGTCATGGTGAGATGTGCTGAGTGGTGCTGAGTGGTGCTGAGAGGAGGAATTCGTGCTTGGTCGCGCTCAAGTTGAGAGTGTTTTAAACCCGTTCATAAGAGAATCTTACATCACCCAGACAGAGGAGAATTTTCCCTAAACCCTTAAACCCTTGTCGTCTCCTTCCCGTCATTCCTTGACCCTGCTGCCTCTCACTCACTCCTCCAGCTGGCTGAGCGGGAATACGCCGATGCTGACGTGGACGACTTCTCTGATGACGAGGACGGAGGTCACCGGGGCGGCGGGGGGGCGGCGGGATCTGCGGCAGGGCATGCGGATATTTCCATGTTCAGTAACGTGCTGGACGACTTCCTGGAAGCTTCCCGGCGGGAGAGCCTGCTGGAGCTGCGGAAGGGGGGCGCGGTTGTGAGGATGGGGAAGGGGGAGGGCTGGGGGAAGGGGGAGAGCGGGGGGAAGGGGAAGGGCGAGGGTAAGGGGGAGGGTGGGGGATCAAAGGAGGGAGAAACGAAGGGAAGTGAGGGAAAAGAGGGAGAGGAGGGCGAAGAGGATGGAGAAGAAGAGATAGTGGCTGTTCCCATTGCTCCTGGTGAGGTAGAGATGGGTGGGAAGGCAGGGGACACGAAAGAGGATGAAGAGGAGGAAGAAGAGGAGGAGGAGGAGGAAGAGGAGGAGGAATATATTTCGGAGGAGGAGGAGGAGGAGAGGGAGAGGGGCAAGTGGGACTGCGAGTCGATAGTCTCTACCTACTCTAACCTTGATAACCACCCTGCACGAATCTCGGCGCCTTTAAATCCCCGCAGAAAGGGGAGCAGGGCGGGAGAGGCGGCGGCAGGAGGAGGGGGAGGTGTAGGGGGAGGTGGTGGGAGGATTGGGGTGGAGGAGATAAGGCTGAAGGGGAAAGCGCAGTTGCCTGCTGGTTTTGTGCCGGGGAGAGTGGGGAGAGAGGGGAGGGAGGGGGAGGATGGGAGAGGGAGTGGCAAGGGGGGTGGGTTGCAGGGGATTGGGGAGGAGGGGGAAGGGGCGGGGGAGGGAGGGGGTGTTGTGTTTGTACGGCCGAGAGGGAAGGACAAGGAGACTCCTGAAGAGAAGAAAGCTCGCAAGGTAGGGGGTGCTGCTGTGTAAGGTTCATGGGGTATGGTGTGTGGGAAGGAATGATGAGGGCCCAGTGCCCAGTGCCCAGTGCCCAGTTCCCAGTGCCCAGTGCCCAGTGCCCAGTACCCAGTACCCAGTACCCAGTGCCCAGTGCCCAGTGCCCAGTGCCCAGTGCCCAGTGCCCAGTGCCCAGTGCCCAGTACCCAGTGCCCAGTGCCCAGTGCCCAGTACCCAGTACCCAGTACCCAGTGCCCAGTGCCCAGTGCCCAGTACCCAGTACCCAGTACCCAGTCCCCAGTGCCCAGTGCCCAGTGCTGCCCAGTGCCCAGTACCCAGTACCCAGTGCCCAGTGCCCAGTACCCAGTACCCAGTACCCAGTGCCCAGTGCCCAGTGCCCAGTACCCAGTGCCCAGTGCCCAGTACCCAGTCCCCAGTACCCAGTGCCCAGTGCCCAGTGCCCAGTACCCAGTACCCAGTGCTGCCCAGTGCCCAGTACCCAGTACCCAGTGCCCAGTGCCCAGTACCCAGTACCCAGTGCCCAGTACCCAGTACCCAGTGCCCAGTACCCAGTGCCCAGTGGTGCTTTCACCCTATGCGTCTCCTCTTTCTTCTCCCCCCCACGCCCCCCTCACTTTTAACACCCCTCTCTTCACACTCCCTCTTTCCACCACGATCAACCTCTCTGCGTCTCACTTTTAAGACATCTCAACACCTTAAGCAACCCCTTTCTTTTCACCACAAGCAACCGCTCTGTGTTGCCTCTTGCTTCTCACTCATCCTCTTTCCACCGCACTCAACCTCTCTCTGTTTCACTTCTGCAGGAGGCAGTGAAGAATCAGAAGCGGGCGGCGAGGGAGGCAAAGAAACAGACAAAAGAGTTGTACAAAGTGGAGGGCAAGAGGGCTCAAAAGGGGGCGGCATCCACTGTTGCACAAGGAATCCATCTATTGTAGCATCGTGTCAAGAGAAAAGGCTTTTTGGAGTGAAATGGCACTACAAATACAAGTGGAGAAAGTGTGGTACACATCATTTTGGTAGCATATTGGTTTTTCCATACTGCAACAGTTCAGGTTTAGCTCAAGTGTACCATATCTGTTTGCACGTATTAATGAAGCACCAAGTGTTACACGACATGTACAGAATAATTGGAACCTATAGTGTTAACCTCAGCTGCCTGCATCTCCTCCATGTCACAACGACCGAACCAACGGCTGGATTTCCTTGATAGCGCGCGCACACTCTGATATGATGAGCAGCAGCTGAGGGCATGACCGCACGGAGGGGAGATGGGAGGAAAGGGAAAAGTTTGAATAAGTTTGAATGACCTAAAATCTCTCCTTGATAGCGCGCGCACACTCCGATATGATGACCAGCAGCTGCGGGCATGAGAGCAAGGCGGGAAGATGGAGGGGAGATGGGCAGAAGATGGGAAGGTCAAGGTTGGAGATTTTGAGTGACATGTGATGGCCACATGTGCGCACTGCACACTCTGAAATGGTACACACCTGCTAAGGCATGAGAGGGGGAGGGGAGGGGGGTGATGGGGGAGATGGGGGGAATGGGGACGTCTGAGCGGATTTGATAGGCACGAGGCAGGTGAAGGCACGAGGCAGGTGAAGGCACGAGGCAGGTGAAGGCACGAGGCAGGTGAAGGCAAGAGGCAGGGGAGATGGGGGAAATGGGGGTGCCTTCGTCTGAGCGGATTTGATAGCGTTCCCCCCAAAGCGTCCCTGATGATGACTAGCAGGGGAAGGCACGAGGGCACCAGGGGAGAGATGGGGAAGACAGGACAGGGGAAGGGGCTTTCAGTGGCCTCAACACTCTCCTTGATAGCACGTGCACACTGCACACTCTGATGTGGTGGCCAGGCCAGCAGGCGAGGGCACGAGGGAGAAGAAGGCGAGGGCGAGGGCACGGAGACTGTCATGGGGTGACTTTTGAGTCGACTCAAAAGTCACTCTCCTTGATAGCACGTGCACAGTGCACACTCTGATGTGGTGGCTAGCAGGCGAGGACACGAGAGGGAGAAGAAGGCGAGGGCACGGGGATGGTCATGGGCTCTCTCTCGGGGCAAAGAGGGCTTTGACTGACATTTTTCTTTCTTCGCCCTTCTTCTAGGCGAGGCCTTAAGGGGCCTAGAAGGGTCGCAGGCCGAAAGGTGTCGGTTGACTGACTACTTGCCGACTCAGCAGGCCCACCTGGTGACTCAGCACACCGACCTGATGCGTCTGCTGTAAGTCGGAGGCGGAATCCAGAGCTCGTTGAGCTCTCTGCATGGAATAGAGGCACGTCATGTGAGAAGGGAGTGCAAAGGGGTGAAAAGGGGTGAAAAGGGATAGGAGGAGGAGGAGAAGGGATTGAGATGCGCTCGCAGGTCTCTGAATGGAACAGAGGCAGGTCATATGCTTGGAGAAACGAGGGATAGAAACCGCCGGAGGTGATTTCTAAGTCAACTCAAGAAACACCTTCTGCTCTCTGAAAGGCACCGGGTCATGTCATGTGAATGCGAGAATGAGGATTTGACGCGATAGAGAAAAGGTGAAGAACAGTAGAATGGTGATTGGAGCGAGGGAGGGAGGGGTGCAGTGTGATGAAAAAGGGGAGTGAGTGTGAGTGGAAACAGCAGCATTCGACTGTGAGTGATGAAGAGCAATCGTCACGAGCGCTCACTGCGTGTGTGTGGGATGGGAAGCAGCCCTGCGTGCGTGTGAATTGGTTGTGAAGCAGCCCAGGAGGCAACACGACGAGACGAGCTCACCTGCAGTTGCGTGACAACGGCCCGCAGAGCGCCAATAAGGGCGTCGTTAGCTGCTGCGTTCAACGCACTCATAGACGCGTCCCGTGGGGAGGAAGATGTGTCCGGTTTGTGGGGCAATGTGCCGGGGGCAGGCAGAGAGGCGGGGTGCGAAGTTGAGGGTGGCAGGAGGGGAGCGACAGGGCAACTCGCCGTTACTCCGGCAGCCGAGGGAACGGCAGTGGCAGCTGCTGCTGCTGCTGCCGTGCCAGGCGTTGCAGCAGGTACTGTGCCGATGGGCAGCAAATCTTGTCTTTGCTGACCTCCAGTCGTCCTCTCTAATGGCGTCCCTGATACAAGCCCATCCACGTATGCCCTCTCCACCCCTCCTTCTCTCTGACCTCTGCTCTTTTCCCTCTCTGCTTCTTCCTCCTTCTCCCAGCCTGTCGCACCTTCCTCGGTCCTTCCTCCCTGCTGCTGCTGAGCTGGCTCTTGTGGCGCTGCTGACGTCAGTTGGGGCGGGGCATCAGCCTCCTCTATGACGGGCAGATCACAAACGACGCACCGTTTCTCTCCCGCCCTGATGGTTTCACAGCCCGGGAGAGGGTTTAAGAGGAAGTGATATGAGGGGTTTGGGGTTGAAAAGGGTTTAGGGCCTTAGAGCGCTCGGGGTTGGGAGAAGGGGAAAACAAGGGAATGGGAGGTGGAGGTGGGAAATGTGGGGGAATGGACGCGGAGGGAATCGGTAAGATGAACGAGCGGGGAGATTGTAACAGATTGAAATATTACATTATGAAAATCACGGTCTTTGCAAATCACGCGCGCGAAGCTTCAAATTTACGGGGTGGCGTATAGCGAGGACAGAGCGGCACCTGCTCCGGAGGATGGGGTTGAAGCACACGGGGCAGTGCATGGCGAGCATCGCCCAGCCCTGCAGCAGCTTCTCGCTCATCTCGTTCCCCGTCGACTTCCTCTGCGGTCCCGCGCCCGCGGTGCCTGTGCCGTTCATCGTGGCGTTCGAATATAGTACGCCTTTTTTGTTCGAGAGACGAGGAAGACTGGCGGCGAATGTGACGATGAGACAAGGTGAAATTATGAATTTCAGACGTAATAAGCGGCGAAATTCTCGAAATTGGAGTGGAGTGGTGTGTGGTGTTGTCGAGGAGTCGAGTTATCGCCGTTGAGCTCATCGCAACACGCACATGAGGCTTGAATGCCGTTCTATTTGCTACACTGTCAGGTAAATACTTTACACTATTTCATCAATATATATGGATTTTTTTTACAATCTGCCCACCCCAATTATTGTGACCCCCCTTCCTCCCTCCCACAGCTGTGTGTTGCGGAACCCACGGGATGGCGGATGTCACGCCGTCCAACCGAGACGGGCGAAATGCGTTCGAAGTTTGAACCGTCCGCCCTCGAGCCGAACTCTGCCCTGTGACTGGTCCGCGTTGGAGTCAAGCTCCTTTGTCTCCGCCCGCAGGGGTAGGTGTGGCTAGCGCTGGTGGCGGAGCCAACGAAGAAGTACGATTTGAACGCGTCAGTGCGGAAATTCTATTTTCTTTTGACGTTCTGTATTTGTGGGTCTGTTGCGCGCTGCAAAAACTCGGTTTGCATTATTGCAGTGTACAATCGTGTGTGCTGTGGTCCGATAGGAGAAAAAGAATCCGCATGGAGGATCGCAGCCGTTGAACAAACCGCTTCTGACCACATATTTTGTGTTCTTCCCCTGAGCCCACTTACCCAACCTCAGCCCTTGACTCTTCTGGTTGTGGCTGGAGGGGGAACGAAATCCGCATCAAGCGCAGCGAAATTCAACCAATCCCGCTACACAGGATGCTCAGCTGTTGCACGCACATTTGGTCATCTCATATTCGACAGCCTGCCCAATTGCATTTGGTACCAGCCAGTTGCACGCACGATACAAGCCCTCATTTTGATCTCAGCCGTTGAACACCCACCTTATCACGCTGGCATCCGTCCGTTAGTGAGATATTTTGAGACGCTGGTTACACCTGCCCACTACTGTCCCGATTTTGCCCGTGGCGAAGGTTGGCGAGTTAGGCGAAATGCTTGTTGCTCACTAATCACCCAAATGAGGAGAAAAGTTGTGGGTATCTAGCGGGCATCCTGTGTAGTTAATGCCGAAGTCGCGCTCCACGCGGAGCCCAGACCCCGCGGCATTCCCCAGGCAAAGCAGATTGCTTTGCCCCCACTTCGGCAGGCAGCTCCATGCGTGCGCAAACGAGCGCATGCACCATGCACGAGGGTTTTCCCCGCCATAATCGAGCTGATGTGGGGGGTGGCGTGGTGTGGGCGGGGGAGGGGAAGGAAATCCCAGTCAGCAGAAGCACACCTCGCATTGCGGATCGCGCGCGCGGCGGAGCAAATTCGCCCCTCCTCGCATTCGGCAAGCATTGCGCCTATCCCTCCGCCAGCAATATGATCGTGTTCCATTCCATCCCAGCCTGAACAAACCATGCATAACCGTACTCTACTCCCTCTCATGGTATTCATCACCTCAATAATTTCATCCACATCCCCATGCTCGCCCAACCTTTCTCTCATCCATTCTCTAGGTAGTCCTACGAGCTTTCTCCGTGAATGCCGCTCGTCAGACGCCCATCGCGTTCCACATGGACGAATCTCCCTTCATGGAAAGGCTCTGGGAACTAGCGTCTTGCTTTCCTCTCTACGCCACCTCGCATTCACCAGACTAACGCGTTCCCATCATCCTGCGGGTACTAAAGACTGCTCTCCGTTCAATTCTAGAGCAAGGGTTTCGTCCCATCGATCCATCCCAGATTCGGCTTTCCACCGTCAGCTCATATTTTTAGAGCAGAGCAGTCTAGTCTATCTACCAAAGGCTCTTCTCTTTAAAACACCTTCGCTCTTAGCAATCACCAGCTCTAAATTGCTCCTACTACAGCTGCTGCCAAACAGATATAAGAGGTTCTCTCAGAGATTAATTAGTTCCAATGGCGCCTGCACAGCTATCCTCCTCCTTCACATCATCTCAAGAGCCGCCGCGCTCCATCATCACCACCTCCACGTCATCACCCAGCCGCGCGAATCTCTGCGCGCGGCAGCACGCAATCGTCTTCTCCGTCACCTACGGCGGCCGCACCGTCAGCATCTGCGTCGCGTGCGCGCTCCTCGACTTCCTCGTCAAGTTCCTCTTCTTCATCCCGCGCTTCATCCTCGTTCTCGCCAGCTTCGGCGTGCCGCTGCTTCTGCTCCCAGTCGGATCGCTCATCGATCTCACCTCCCCGCCGATGCTCGTCGCGCAAGCGATCGCTCTTGTTTGGTACACGTGTTACCTCCCCGGCCTGCAGACGATACAGGCGAAGCGCGAGAGCTTCAACCGCAAGCGCCGCATGCTGCAGGCGGTAGAGGCGCGGAGAACGCGCAGCAGCAGCGATGCTGGGGATTTGCGAAAATCTCGCACGGAGATGGTAACCAGTTCGGCTACCAAGTCGTGTGCAGCAACCGAGATGGGACAATCGACATGTTGCGAAGACGAGGTGGTTACCAGAAGAAGCATCGCGCAAAGCTTTGGCGAAAATCTACAGTCCATGCGAAGACTCGCCTGCGAGAAGGCGACGTTCGCTTCGCAAGGCGTGCGAAGCGGCCTCAGTTCTGCAAGAATGGCCGTCACTCGCTCGTGCTGGAAACTGATGGTGTCCGCAAGAGTAACGGTAACAACTACAGTAACGACTGTAACGAGCTCTGTAGCAGCTACAGTCGTTGCTACAGCTGTCCGCGCTGCCGTGACTATCAAGGCTCTTCTCTTCCTCTGCGTTCAAATCCTGGCCGTCGTCGCTCGTTTGTTCGTGTGGATGCTTGCGTCAGCATGGGGTCTCCTTGTATCGCGGATGCAAATCCAGAGGCATTTAACCGCCGATTCCGCTTCCACTTCCATTTTGGATTCCGCTTTTGCGGAAGGAACGGGGATTGTGTGCGCGCGGGAGGCGGGAGAAAGGACGCGGAAGCGCGGCGGGAAGGGGAAGAAGGGAGCGCGGCTTGGCAAGGGAGGCCGCGGCAGCGGCGGGAAAGCTGAATTCGAAGCGGAGGAGCTCAGCGGATGTGATAATAACGAAGAGAGGGAGGAGAACGAAACGATTGAGCAGAGCAACGCGGCTGAGTCGCAGAGTGACGTGGCAACGCAGCCGACGGCGGAAAATCCGGAAGTTATGGAGGTTCCGGAGCTAATTGACGGCTTGCTTGCAGAGAAGGAAACTTCCGAGAAAGAGCGCTCGCGGAAGAGGGCTTTCAGGAAACAACGACGGGCGAGGCGTGAGCGTGCCACGTCAGACGCGCGCCAGGGAGAATCCGCGTCGGATGTCGAAGCCACGTCTGTGCAAGCTGACGTGGAACTGCCACACCAGAATATGACCGTGACTGATCGGAAGACTGAGGAGCAGCAGCTGGCGCAGTTGACTCAGTTGACCCAGTTGACCAAATTGTCTCCACCTGAGCTGTCGCAGTTGATTGATCAACTCATGCTCGTGGCGGCAGGAAACGAGGCTGCTGGAAGCGAGGGTGACAGTGGCGAGAGTGACTATACTTCCAAGCCTGCAGCCCGCCAATCCCGCCAGTCCAAGCCTTCTTCTGATACCAGCGAGGCCAACGGGTGGGAGAGCAGCAGCAGCAGCTGCAGCGGCGGCGGCGGCGGCGGCAGCGGAAGTGACAGCAGCAGCAACGCAGTTAGCAGGAGCAGCAGCAGTGGTGGCAGCAGCAGCAGCAGGAGTAACGGTGCCACTTCATCCTTTGCTTCATCCCTCTCATCCCCTTCCGCCCCTCCCGTTGTTTCCAGCTCTTTCCCCACCTCCACACCCTCCCTTCCCCCTCTCTCCCCATCCCCTTCCTCGCTCTCCCCCTCCCTTTCCTACACTCTCCCCTCACCTGTTTTCTCTGCGGGTAAGACTCTTGCGAGCCCTGTTGCCCCCGTGCACGTGCAGTCATTCCAGCATCAATGGCAGCAGCAGCACCAGCAGATCCAGCAGCATTACCACAATCAGCCAGAGCAGCAGCAGCACCAGCAGCAGCACCAGCAGCAGCAGCACCAGCAGCAGCACCAGCAGCAGCCGCAGCAGCAGCAGCGAGCAAGCGGGGGTGCAGCAGCAGCCCAGTGGGAGATGTGGGGCACATCTCACCTCAACACCAACCACCCTCTCCTGCAGCAGCAGCAGCAGCAGCAGCAGCAGCAGCAGGGGGGCGTGCAGCAGGAGGGCAACACTGAGAGTGGCGAGACAAGGACAACTAATCTTTGCTGGAGCCCGGACGACAAGCCATGGCTGCCGTGGCTCCCCTCCCCCACGGCCCTCTCCCCGTCTCTTAAAGCCCCCGGAGCCCTCCCCAATAAGTGGTCCCCCACCCCTCTCTCCCCTCCCACTCAAGCCCCAGGGATGCCTTTCATGCTCCCACAGGGCTCCTCCTCTTTGGGCTCTTTCTCCAACTCTGCGGTTGAATCCGCTATTTCGGGGTTGGAATGGCTGGAGAGGGATGCTGACGTCACCCTCCCTCCGCCTGCTGTGCCTGCCCACGTGGCGTATGCTGCTGCTGGTGCCACTGGCAGCACTCTTTGTCAGGTGCTGCCGCAGTCTCCTGTAATCCCTCAAGCTGGTTTTCTCTCCAGCACCTCTCATCCCTTCCACTTTGACAACAGCGGGAAACTTGGAGGACGATCTGTGGTGGGACGGCAGCAGCAGCAGCAGCAGCAGCGCTGTGCAGTTGCTAGTCTGTTGCCGGGCTCTACGTTTGAGGGGAATGGTGAAAAGCCAGAGCTATCATCTCGTGGGAATTATTCCCTCCTCGGTTCTGGGTTTGCGGACAGCTTGGCATCGGAACATGTGATGTACACCAGAGAAGCGATAGAGGAGTGGATGGAGTAGATAGAACGGCTGGTTTGTGGATTCCATGTTCTCTGTACTATGATTTGTTTGTGTGTGTACTTGTATTCAAATAATTGCCTACTGGCAACACAGCTTCCTTGCAAGATTGAGTGTCAATCTAGAAACTACACCAGAATTTGTTGCCTGTGAAAACAAATGACTTCTCAGATGAGGTGGATAAAGCATTTATGTAGCAGTGGTAGCTGTCCGGCCGGGTATATCTTAGGGTACATGGTCTGGTCACCATAAATATTTTGCAGCTGTCTGTATGTATGTATGGCAAGGATGACAACTAGCAGGTCAATACAACATGGCGAAGCAAGACAATCTCTCACCGGTCAGTACACCTTGGCGGCCACGTACTGTATTGGGCATTGATGTAATATCTACGACTGGTTCCACATTTGCAAAGGCTACTACTATCTAAACTGGTGTAAAAGGTCAATCCAGGTACAACCAGAAGCCATATTACATTAGATACAGCATTAAAGATTTCAGCAACAGATATACTGAACCTGCTGCAATACAGAAGCATTATTGATCTAAACCTTCCCAAAAGAAACTGCTCGAAATGCAAATCCATCATTAACTTACTATCACGCATAACCTTCCAAAAAAGCTCACTACCTTACACCAACTCAAACCTCCGCGGCCTTCGCAGCGCCAGTTTCGGGCGGACCAAACAGCTGCACGCCCTGCCCGTCCTGCCCCTCGGCATTGTACGCGGAACCCCCGTGCTTGGTCAGATCCATCCCCGCAATCTCCTCATCGGGGGGAACGCGCAGCAGGTTGAGCGAGTGCAGAATGAAAAAGAGCGCGCCCATGAGCACCGACACCCACGCGAACACGCAGACTATCTCGAGGCACTGGCAGCCCAGAAGTTTCCAGCCTCCGCCGTAGAAGAGGCCGTAGGGGGTGGTGTCGGGCTTGGCGTATGCCTGCATCAGGAACTCCTTGTTGGCCAACAGACCTGCGGGGCAACACGAGAGGTCGGGGAATTGGGGAGTTGTATATTAGGACAGCACAAAGGAGAGAAGAGGCGGAGGGAGGGAGCGGGATGGGGAGAAAAGAAAAGGCAAAGGAGAGGGGGAAAAGGGGGATGGAGGAAAGGAGGGGGGAGAAAAGCAGGGGAGGAGAGGGGGGGAGGAGAGGGGGGGAGGGGGAAAGGGGGGGGGGAAGAGGGGGGAGGAAGAGGGGGAAGGGGGGGAAGAAGAAGCGTACTAACAAGTGAAAGAGAGGGCGGAAGGAGCGGGGTGGAGGAGAGGGGGAGGAGGCTGAAGGCACTGCAGCAGAATGAGCAATCATGGACCTTCATCGAGAGCTGGATCCTCATGGAGAGCAAGCTGAGCAGAATGAGCTCGAGGGGAGGAGGGGCACAGAGCGAGTCCAATGGATCGAGAGCGTACCAACAAAGAAGAGGCCCCACGCGCCACAGCCAAAGTGAAGCTGCGTGGCTTCCAGGGGATCGTCGAACTGGATCTTCATGGAGAGCATGTTGAGCAGAATGAGCGTCCAGCTGGCGCCGAAGCCGCAGAGGATGGCGGCCCAGGGCTCCACCACGGAGCACCCCGCCGTGATGGCCGCGAACCCGCCCAGCAGCCCGTTGCACACATCTGTCACGTGCCAGCAGCCCTGCGGGTGGGAAATCACGAGGGAAATATTCAAGACAGGAAACGCAAGGGTGAGAGGAGAGAACCATCAGTCAAGCGCCAGAAACCCTACTCGAGCGACAACAAGGTGAGGGGGGGACGCAAGATATAACCAGCACCCGTATTGGTTTTATGTGAGGGGGAAACCCAATATTAATCACCGTTTTTTTTTTTTTTTGCACGTTGCTGGAATTAGAAAAGCAACTACTGCAGCAACTTGGAGGCGCTTACAGCGAGGAGTCTCTTGGCGATGAGCGTGTTGACGGCAGCCATGCAGCCGGAGAGAGTGGTGGTGACGGCGGTGCGGCCCACCCACGACCAGTTACCCAGCACGTCAGTCCACGGGATGGTGATGCGCAGGAACGACCCGGGGTTGAAACCGTACCATCCGAACCTGCCAGGATGACACCGTACCGTTGCAGTCACAGCACAGGCATAAAGTGAGACAGGAGCAGCAGCAAAAAAAAACAAAAAAACAGCCAGACCCATGCATATTATATCTATTTACAAGCAGTCAAGGGCACATAAGTGAGCGTAGGGACTCACCAAAGGAGGAACGAGCCGAGCACAACGAGCGTGGCCGAGTGGCCCTTCATCTCGAGCGGGCGGCCGCCCTTGTCAAAGCGGCCGAGACGCGGGCCCTCGATGAGCGCGCCCCACATCCCCGCGACGCCGCCCACCATGTGCACCACGCCGCTGCCCGCGAAGTCGATGGCGCCCACGTCGAGGAAGAGGTTGTTCGTGTTGAACGCTGACAGCCACCCGTTCTAAGACCAGAGGAAGGGGTATAATGGAACACACCAAACGCGCGGAGATAAAACAGCACGAAATATTGGTGAGTTACGGCGCCAAGGAGGGTTAACGACACGCGTTGGTGAGTTAGAAGGAATGAAAATATGCAGGCTTTGGAGGGACAGAGGAGAGCAGGACTCCTGACTAAATAAGACTCGTACCGTGGCCCAGATCCAATGCGCGACGACGGGGTAGACGAAGCCGGTCAGGAACGTGGAGCATACGAGGTACATTCTCAGGCGACTCAAAGTCAGCGGGCAGCGGGAGCGGGCGGCGGGGAGGGGGGATTCATACCGTGGCCCAGATCCAGTGCGCGACTACGGGGTAGACGAAGCCGGTCAGGAAGGTCGAGTACACGAGGTACGCCGTGAATTGCGTGCGCTCCGCGATGGACCCCGACGTGATGCCCGCGCACGCGATGGCGAAGGCCCACTGGAACATCCAGAAGCTGAAATCGTAGATGTAGTTGATGCCAGGCGCGTCGAACGACGTGTACACCGGCAGGCCCGACATGGCGAAGTAGTTGGCTCCGATAAACGCGTTACTGCGAGGGGGCAGGAGGAACGAGGAACGGAGGGGAGAGTTTGTTAACGAATCGGGACTTCAAATGACAAGGGACGATACCGTGGAGAGATCAGCAAAAGGACGGCAAATGCGCCGTTTGAAAGACAAAACCAATGTGCACTTCTGACAATACTGGTGTCGGAAACTGCTAGATACCTGGTTCCTCCTTGGCCGAAAGCGAAGGCGAATCCGAAAATGTAGAAGGAGAGGCCTCCGACGCAGGCATCGAGCACGTTGGTGAGCATGATGTTCATCGTGTTCTTCGCGCGCACCGTTCCCGCGCACAGCATTGCGAAACCAATCTGCGAAACGACAAAACCATTGGAAAAGAGTTCAAAGTAAGTCCATTGTAGAGTTCAGGTTTAAATGTAAACAAGACAGCCAGAAAGAAATCGGGGAGTCGAGGAAGGTAGAAACGAAAGACAGCAGGCACCTTGCCATTAGGTCGTAGGGATTAGGTAACGTCGTGACTTACTTGCATGGCGAAGACGAGGTAGGCGGAGAAGAGGAGGTACGTGTTGTCGACGGCAAGCTGCGTCCATTGGAACTGCGCCGCGATGAGATCGAGCTTGCTGCAGAAGAAGCTCGCGAAGTCCGCCTCGCCGACAGTCATGTTCGGGAACGTCGCGGACAGCATGGCCGTGTCATTCTCGCTGCACATGAAACTGTACACGGAATTGTACAGCCCGAGAGTGGAGGTTGTAACCTCCGAGTAAGTCGCCATGGCGGCTGCACTGACAGCGCCAAGGACACACGCAGAAGACGGAGAAACACTCTTGACGTGCCTCGTTTACAAGACGATCTGCAATGATAGCTGCTCCAGAACAACCGAGCTACGATGAAAATGAATACTAAAGATTCCAGCTTTGAGACTATATCTTAGCTCAGCCCCGTGTCCACTAGGCACAACCCGTGTCCAAACCGAAAAGGCTTCCGAACCACGCTTCTAGATGTAAAAGAAGGTACCGAGCCAGGGAGTTCGTTACGGGCCGAACCAGAGCCACTAGCTCATGCCAAAAAATGGTTCGCCGAAGCTCATCCACAAGAGCAAACGAAACATGATTGGTTCGGTACCAAACGGGAACATGTCGAGCCTGTCATTTTGGGTAACTCTCGGGGGAACGTGAGCGCGCGAAGGCCGTAGGTTGGCCGACGATGACGGGAATAGTCGCAGATGGTTGAAGACAGGACGTATGCGAATGTACTCGGTGAGCGCGACGCGGTCGAACCAGCGCCGACGAGTTTGACGGCGTCGATGGAGTGATTTTGGAGGCCCGGCGTGCGATCCACGGTCAAATGAAATTCCATGCCAGAAACGGCGACGTTTTTTGACGAATAGAATCGAACCTTTCAACCACGAGGGTATTCTGAGAGGCTAGCTTGTGCTAGCATGTGACCACGTGGACAATGAAGTGCAACATCCGCCACGGGCTCACGAACACAGACCAGGTGGTTGCACCAAATCAAGAAAGCGTGGCGGCGGCTGGGGTGGGTGAGGTGGGGTGGTGGGGGTGGGGGGGGGGGGAGGAGGGAACGCTGGGGGAAAGGTGGCTTGAGAGGTGCTGGGAGGGTGGGGGGAGGAGAGAGTAGTAAAGGGGGTGGGGGGAGGGCGTCACTCACGCGTGAGTCAAATTGCTGCTGTCCACTGGCTAACTGGACTGCAGAGAGCCCAAATCGCTTGTCTGTTGCAGCCAAGCATATGTTTTTTATCTACCAATCGAAGGAGAGGAGACTGCCACGTGTGCAATAGTGTGTTCAGAGTGCCAAGCTGGCACGACATGTGTCGGGAGCTCAAATCCACCAATGAAATGGAAGGCAATCAGTCACTCTGTAACTTGCAACGTACACTCCATACTAGACATCACGCCTTCGTTTCCAACTAAACTGCTTAAGAATCAATTTTAGGTATATTATTTTGTATGCCTGTTTCAGACTCCCTTTCCCTATCCAACATGCCTTATCATGTACCTTCCCAGCAACGCTCCGTTGTATCCACACATGTCAAATTCTCTATTTGCTGGCGAACAGCACCCATGTGTTGCCTTTCCCTCCCCCCTGCACCCTTGCTGTACAAAACTTACCTCTGCTCCAACCCTTCTTGGGGCTTTGGTTAGAGCGGCACACAGACTAGAAAATGTAGTCCACAACTCCTACTTTGTCCATCAAGCACTAAGCCCTTCCCAAAGTATGCCCTCAATGTTTCCATCCCCAACAGGCAGCTCCAATAGCTGGCTGGCTCCACTTCCTCCCCCTTAGCAACTTTCTCAACACATAGATGCATCGAGCACACAGTTCTCTATCCAGACCACGTTCATGTGATTCAAATATCTCAACACAGGTGGGCACGAGTGCCAAAACATGGAGAATAGTCCAGTGTAGAGGTATGGGCATTCCACCCTGCCAACTCATAACCTAGGTATCTAATCTATAACTTCTTTCCTGCCAATGACGGTTCGCGAAGCATATTCGCATACATCATATCCACCCACGCGTCTGGCACACCCGGCAAGCACCAATGCGTGCAGTCCCCTGAAAAAGGGGACTCGCCGTTGCCAGCTGGCGATCCAGGACCGGTCGAAGGCCTCCTCTTGAACCAGGGTCCCTGATGCGCATCAGGCCGCATCGCGCTCAGGCTGGTAACCTGGAGGAACCGTAACGTCGAACCCATCAGTGCAGTTTTCTGCGTTGTCATGTACGCTTCGGACGTGGGAAGCGATAACGAGTAATCCTTTATGGCGAGCTGTTCGGACATCGGTTTTACCGCTCCGCATGCGCCAACCCAGGAAGGTTTCCCCCCGGCTGAAGCACCCTGGTACACTCCGTTTTGCGGGGTGCCCGCGCCGCCGTGGTGGGGCGAGAACGAAATAAAATACGGCACGCCGCCGTAGTTGGAAGTTTTTAGGTACGAGCCGAGCGTATTGAGAGCCCACGCGTGCGCATCGAGATTCGAGAGGTTCTTCGGGGAGTTATTCACGAAAAAGACGTTTGGCTGCTTGCGGCGCGGGACGTTCTGCTGCCACCAGACGCCCGACGCGAAAACCGCCATGGCGTATTCTGGAAGGATCTTCGCGACCGTCGGATGCATCTTGTCCACGTGGACGTCGTAGCCGTGTCCGCCCTTCGCGTCCGCGGTCTGGGCGCCGCGCGTGATGGCGTAGACGAGGTAGGGCGAGAAGAGGTGCTCGATGGAAATGCCCATGCGGGGAAAGTGCACGCCTTTAACGTTGAACACGCCCCCCGTGTTGCGCTGGTAGGGCTGGGGAAAGGGAAGGGGAAGACGGGAGGCGGAACGGGGGATTGGGGTGAACTTTAGATAGGAGAAGGAAAGGTAATGTGGGGGCGGGCGGAGGGGTGAGAGGGGGGGAAGTGGGGGGGAAGGAGGAGAGAGTGGGAGAGTTGGATACACGTGGGAGGGTTGGGAGGGAGTGAATGGCGAATGGGGTCGGTAAGTGGAGAATATGGCGAGCGCGTTTTTCCATTCAAATGCGAAAACTGCCCTGGCGCATAAGGCATGCCTCACCTGGCCCTTGAAGCCGCCGATGTGGATGGCGCAGAGCAGCGCCTCGTAGAAATTGGACATCATCGAGTCGCCCACCAGCAGCACTTTCTGCGCCGAGCGCGACGGAGACGGGGGGAGAGCAGGGGAAAAAGGGGGACATCGGGGGGAATGGGGGGTTAGTGGGGGTGTGGGAGGAGCGCAGCGCCTCGTAGAAGTTGGACATCGTCGAGTCGCCCACCAGCAGCACTGTCTGCGCCACGAGTGACAGGAGGGGGGAGTTGAGGGGGAGAAGGGAGAGGAAGGAGGGAGGGGGGCGCGGGTAGGTACGGGGAGAAAGTGGATGAGACAAATGACGGAAGTGATAGGTGTGAGAGGTGGGCAGTGGCGATTCGAGATATACTTAATAAAAAGGAGAGGAACCCATTAGAACCCGCATCGCACCTTCTGCTTGAGCATGTACTTAAAGCCCGAGGGGCTGAAGTATGAGTACATGCACTGCTTGGGCTGCCAGCGGTACCACTGGAACCGCATGTCCGCGCGCCCGTTGCGCTCGCACGCGAAATCCGACCGCACGTAAGGGCACGAGTTGGGCTTCCCCGGAAGTGACGTATACCGCGGAAATCCTCTGGTCCCCTTCCGCCACTCCCCGGTCGTGAAGTCGCATTTCGCGTTCCGGACTGGAGGGGGAAAGGGATGGCGGAGTTGGCGGCGGGTGAGGCGGGGTTATGGGGATTGGGAGTGCGTTGTGCGAGAGTAAAGAGTTGTGCAAGCACGGCACCAGTCTTCGAAATGCATAACTTTTCTCACGTACTAACTACATTTCCTCCAGTAACAAGCTGATGATGACTCCGGATGACGTGTTGAGGACTGGCTGACCTTGAGGCGCTAGTGCTGCTCCCGGAACGGCGAGCTGCGCGAACAAGATGACCGTTGAGTCGACTCAAAAGTCGCCTCATACAATGCTGACGATGACGTGTCAACGATGACTGACCTTGAGACGTTACTGCTGCTCCTGCAACGTTGAGCTGCGCGAACACTCCCACGACCGCGATGACGGCGATGACGATGGACATCGCTACTGAGTAACCCCGTTTCGTGCCCGCTAATGCAATATTTCGGTGCTCGTCAAAAGCTCCCATCTTCGACCGTATGCGTGCACTGATTACACACAGATCCAAAACTGTGGGTTTTGCCGAACAAATCAACGCAGTTCTCCAGCAGAGGAGGCCTTCTGTTATCCCTGTGAAGGCTGCTGAAAGAGCATGCCTCCTTCTGTAAAGCGAACAGGAATGGGCGAGAGAGGCGGGACGCCGCTAGCAGCGTCGAAGGAATCTACTGGGTATGGCGACTGAGATTCGCCGAGTGTTCTGGATAGCTGCTGAGTCCTGACTAGAGCGTGGCAGCCGGGAGGGTTGCTAAAGCAACGACTGTATTGAAACTAGGGTTAAGGTTCCAAGGGGAGGCCAGAGTGATGCCTTCGGGTTCCTCTGTCCTCGGGTCGGCTTTTTGGTTTCCCACTAGTATCGCGCGAGGTTGCTTGAGGGTTGAGTAATTTAGGGCCTTGACTAAGCTCGATGACTCACACGCAGCGGCGACATGAATCTGGTGGCTGTGGTTGAATGAAATCGCCAACAACGGCGGTGGGCGAGGATCAGATTCAACCCTAGCGCGCAATGCGGCGCCTCAAAAGGAGTCGCGGATCGGGTTGGAAGGGGATGTGGGGCCGAAGGTCGAATTCTGGGGCTCTAGTCGACAGTGTTGTTATCGGGCACGAATTTCCAAAAGAAGTTCACCGACACCAAGATTGACCAACAAATGGAAAGTAGGTGTCCACAGGCTTGAATATTTTGTAGCAGCGGAAGGATGAGTGAGTTTAGTGCGGGATGGCGGAGCCAGCTCAACCGGGCTGGGGTGGTTCGTGCAGACTTGCAATCCACATGTTTGTCGGTTGAAAGGCTGCAGCTTTCGACTGGACAGTGGAGGACATTCCACCATGGCGATTGGGGGAACGGGATGGCAGGTGAAGAACTGTGTTTCCGTCATTCATCCATTCCCGTTTCCTAGTTCAACATTTCGAGCCGCGGATACGAGCCGCGAATTGACTGCACATTGCTCCTTGTGCAGAAATGCACAGCGAAGCTCGTGCATGGCGGTGCGAGTGATGCTTGCGAAACCCGTCGTCGGTTCGAGCGCGAAGAGTCTGCCGCGCAAACGCGAGATTGCTGGGTGGAAAAAAAACGTGGCTGGGTCAGAGTCGAAAGGGTGCTGTGGTGAAGACCAATTTCAGATACAATTACTCACCTGGTAGCAATCCCTGGTACTTCATCATATCGGGTATTTTACCAGGGGGTTTTATAATTAAAGCTCGCGTCTCATATTTCTACTATCCAACCAAGTGTTAAACGGTTGGAATTTGGTAACAGCAAAGTTTGTCGCAAAGCACACCAAAGCAAGGGGTGGTTTGGGAAAGTTGGCTGTCGCACACTTCCCGTGCACACCAAGCGTTTACAACTTCCAAAAATATGAGACTCTGAAACTCAACATTGACAGAAGGGGGGACCGAACCTGTCCCCCTTGGCTCGTTTTCCACCCAAACCAACCCACCCTGGTTTGTTTTGGCCTCGACTGTTTTGGTAGTTCGCTGTGATTTTTCACCCACTCGTCAAATATTTCGTTTTCGTTACCCAATCACAGTCGGGCAAACCCAACCAAGTGTTAAACGGTTGGAAATATGAGACGCGAGCTTTAAGCTTTCACATTCACGCGCTTGGGGTCTTAACCTCAGCCCCGACTGAACTTCACACAAACGCATGCACTTACGCGCCTTAGCACATTAAGTATACCGGTAACCTTGTCTAGCTAGCGTGTCGTCCGGGTTAAGAAATGAAAACGTTGCTTCAATTGCATTAATTTGGCAATAAACTGGATAAACATTACACACTTTTCCCCAAGACAGAAACTCATACTGGATCCAAATAGTATCAGAAGTACAAGCAGTTTGTAACAACTGAAACAGCGAACGGTTCAAGCAGCAGGCGGGTCAGAAAGTAGAAAACCACTCCCAACCCAATCGAGATGGGCAGCGCAGGTAACGCCCGCTTCTGTAACGCCAAAAGCACAAGTGTAGCGCCCAGCCCTGCAATTATCGCAAGGTAACACGCATACACTGTCATCAAATCGTACATGGCAGCCCTCCCCACCAGAACACCATAGAAGATAAAATCTCCCATTCCAAGCTTGATGGCGCTTGGGAGGTCCGGGCCGAAGCTGCTGCTCGGCTCCAGTCTCGGGCTCGGCAGATAGTGAATATCATCTGGGTCGTCAACGGCATAAGCATGCACCTCTTGGTTCAGTTGCAAGCCGATCCTGCCAGGCTCGGCATTCTGCCCTCTGCCGTGGCTGCTTGTAGCAGCAGCGGTCGTCGATGCACCTGCAGCTGTGGTAACAGCGGCTCTGGCAGCTGCAATGGCAGCAGCAGCAGCAGCAAAACGAGAAGAACCATCACCACCACCATCATCAGCACCAGCTTGCACAACACCAGCATTAGCGCCCACAGCACCACCAAAAGCAGAAGCAGCACCAGTAGAAGCACCAGCGACAGCAGCAGCAGCAGCAGCAGAAGCAGCACCAGCAGAGGCACAAGCACCTTGTTCTGGATCCTCTACATGAACTGAAGACAAGTCAGCCGACCACCCTCCGCTGACCCCACGATCCACACTGCCCCCCCACCCACCAGAACCAAGCAAGCTATGCGGGCGACTGCTACCCTCAGCAACGGAGTGTGGAAACCCATCTGCTCTGCCTGGCACCGCTCCGCACCCCACTGCACCCCCACTCACCTCAAACCCTCTCATCTGCCCGTCCACACCAGGCAAACCGTCCATTCCAACACTCTGCCCTTCAATCCCCGCAATCTGCCCCTCAAGACCCGCTCTCATCCGAATGCCGCCACTCACTGCCCCCATGCTCCACTCCGGTCCAAGCGATACCGCCCGGGAGATTGTCCCGCCTCGCCACCGCTCCCGCTCTCTCTCCCTCTCTCTCTCGCGTAGGTGCTGGCTGGCAACCTCTCTGAGCCGTGCTATTTCTCGCTCCACCTCCTCCTCCCCTCTCACTGATGTCTCCTCTCCACCCACCAACGAACCTGCAGCTGCTGCTGTTGCTCCCGTTGCTCCTACTGCTCCTCCTCCTCCTCCCCCTCCTCCTCCTCCGCCTGCTGCTGCTGCTCCTGCTGCTCCTGCTGCTTCTGCTTCTGCTCCTGCCCCACCCTCCCGTTCCTGCACTCCCAACATCCCCCCTCCTTCCCTACTCCCCCTCACCTCCACACGCTCCCCATGAGCCAAACTCACTCGAACCACAGGCGCCACTGCTTCCTCCTCCCCACTCCCCCCCACTCCCCCCACGCCCCCTCCTCTCCCTCTCCCTCCCCCTTCCACCAACCCGCCCTGCTTGGGAGACGGCATGGAGAGCGTTCGACCCACTCTCCCAATCCTAGAGCTACCAGCTCGCCCGCTCTCGCCTCCCCGCCGCCCTCTGCTGCTGCCCGAGCGGCTCCCGCTACCTGACTGCTGATCCACCGACCCGTTATAAGGCACCTCGTTAAGCAGCACTCCGCTTCCCCCGCGATTCAAGCCTGCTGCATGCTCGCTCCACTCACCACTCCTCCTCTGCTGCCCCTCCCCTCCTCTCTCTACTCCACTTCTCCCTCCTCCTGCACCCTCTGGTGGGATCCCCATACCTTGACTTAACAACGGCATCCCTTCACTCTCTCCCTCCTCTCTCTCATCTTCGCCTTCTACCCCCCTCCCCCTCCTCCCCTCCCCTCTCTCACCTCCCGGCCTCTCATCCTGCCGTTGAGCTCCTGTGAGGCGCAGAGCAGAAGTGGCAGCAGCGGCTGCAGCAGAAGCAACAAAGGCACTCAGTTGTCCAGCAAAGGTCCTTTCACCACCACCACTAGCAGCACCACTAGCACCACCACTAGCAGCACCAGTAGCAGCACCAATCGCACCACCAGCAACGCTGCTCTGCTGCTGCAACCGCCGCTCGAATTGGCCTCGCACGCGCGTTCTCCTTGACCCACCAGCACCGCTCCCCACCGCACCACCCGTCATCCCATCCCCCCCACTTCCCCCTCCTCCATCCGCCACATGTCCCAGGGCGGTGTTAGGGACGAGAGTGCTACCAGCTGTGCTGTTTGTAGCCCGAAATGTGGTGCCGGATGGAGAGGGGTTGGATGCGGTGGAAGGCGACAGCGAGGGCGGGAAGGAGGACGAGGAGGAGGTGGTGGAGAGGGAGGAGAGTGGGGGATGGCCGGGGCGAGTTGGCATGGAGGGATGAGAGTGTGGCGGGAGAGGGAGAGAGGGACCGGAGTGGAGTGAGGGACCTGAGTGGAGCGAGTGACCGGAGGGTAAAGGGCGAGTGGGAGTAAGAAGGCGAGGAGGAGGACGGAGAGGAGGAGGGGCGAAGGGCATGGGTGGAGGCCTGGCTTCGTAGATGAGTGCTGGTATGTCCTCGTCTCGCTCCATGGCTATGTCTAGTAGGAGCTTCAGCGGACCCACTGGGGGATGAGGACAAGGGGACAAAGGGAGGGGAGCAACAAAGGGGAAGGCTGAACCAAACCAGCTTCGTGGATGAGTGCTGGGATGCCCTCGTCCCGCTCCATGGCTCTGTCTAGGAGGAGCTTGAGGGGGCCCACTGGGGGACGAGAAGAGGGGGGAGGGAAGGGAAAACAGCACCGCAGATGAGTGCTGGGATGTCCTCGTCCCGCTCCATGGCTTTGTCTAGAAGCAGCTTGAGCGGGCCAACTAAAGTATGAAAGGAAGGGGAGAGGGAAGGGGAGAGGGAAGGGGAGAGGGAAGGGGAGAGGGAAGGGGAGAGGGGAGGGGAGAGGGAAGGGGAGAGGGAAGGGGAGAGGGAAGGGGAGAGGGAAGGGGAGAGGGAAGGGGAGAGGGAAGGGGAGAGGGAAGGGGAGAGGGAAGGGGAGAGGGAAGGGGAGAGGGAAGGGGAGAGGGAAGGGGAGAGGGAAGGGGAGAGGGAAGGGGAGAGGGAAGGGGAGAGGGAAGGGGAGAGGGAAGGGGAGAGGGAAGGGGAGAGGGAAGGGGAGAGGGAAGGTGAGAGGGAAGGGGAGAGGGAAGGGGAGAGGGAAGGGGAGAGGGAAGGGGAGAGGGAAGGGGAGAGGGAAGGGGAGGGGGAAGGGGAGAGGGAAGGGGAGAGGGAAGGTGAGAGGGAAGGGGAGAGGGAAGGGGAGAGGGAAGGGGAGAGGGAAGGGGAGAGGGAAGGGGAGAGGGAAGGGGAGAGGGAAGGGGAGGGACCGAGGTTCGGGAATGGATAGAACAATGTAAGTAAACGAGTGCTAGGGTGTATGTCCACGTCTCGCTCCATGGCTATGCCTAGAAGAGGTAGGGTGGGGGTGGGGGGGGAAGAACAGGGTTCCGGGAGCGGAAACCGGCTTTGCAAATGAGAGCTGATACTTGGGGAGTTCTGAGACGTGTAGAAAAGAGTGAGTGCCTGGGGTGGGAGGTGCACGCATATACCTGGTGTGAGAACAGCATAGAGGTCGCAGAGTGACATGGCGATGAGCACCATCCACTTGCTTGCTCCACTCAGGCAGGCTGGAGAAGCAGACGGCGCTGGGGTTGGGGCTGTTAGAAATGGACTGTCAACACTTTGTGTACTATATTCTATATCTTGTAGGTTATTTGTAGGTTGGGTGTAGATTGTAATCCCAACCCTATCTGGTTGGGATTCCCTCGTAATCCCGCAAATATGCCAACTCACCATTGAAGATTTGCTAGGATTCCCATCCCATCATTTCCCTAGCTTTGCTCAACCCAACCTTGTTTGTACTTAAGGCCTAGTGCCTTCTCTACTAATTAATCAGTTCAAACTCCTTTTCTATCAGGGGCTGCCTGGGGTTGGAGAGGCACGAACCTGTAGGGTTCTGAGGCGTCTGTGGAGTCCTGGGACCAAACCTGGCGTGCGAACGGCGTAGAGATCGTAGAGAGACATGGCGATGAGCACCATCCACGTGGTCCACTCGGGCACGCTGGAGAACCAAAAGGCGACGATCGGCTTGCCTGGGGTAGGTCACATACCCAGGGAGTAGTGAGACGTCGAGAAAGAGTGTCTGAGATGGGAGAGGCGCGTACCTGGCGTGAGGACGGCATAGAGGTCGTAGAGTGACATGGCGATGAGCACCATCCACGTGGTCCATTCTGGTAGGCTGGAGAACCAGAAGGCGACGATGGCGCCGACGGCAACGAGGTAGGATTGAGTGAGGAAGATGGGCATTCGGCAGAAGAAGACTGCCAGCACGCCCACCACTGACAGGTTGTACAGGAGGAGAGAGAAGGTGATTATGTCTATTGGGATGGAGAAGCGCTGGTGGGGTGGGGGAAGCGGGAGGATGGGAGAGAGAGGATGGGAGTTGAGCCAGACACACAACTGGACGCTAACAAAGAGCAAGAACGATAGGAAGCAGGAGAGTAGGATGCGGACCACTAGCAGGAGAGTAGGATGCGGACCACTAGCAGATAGAGGCGTCTCACCTGAATGAGTTGCACTGCCAGTGTGCCGCCCAGTCCAGCAAATATGACAAAGCCAGAGAAGCCCATGTAGCCCCAGATGCAGCGCGCACACCCACAGTAGAACAGCCCCACCAGCACCGCCCCATGTAGCCCCACCCCACCAGCACAATCCTATGTAGCCCCACATGCACCGTGCGACACGCACACCCACATCACCAGTAATTGAAGGGGACGATCAGCAGCTTCTCTCACCTGAATGAGCTGCACTGCCAGTGTGCCGCCCAGCCCGGCAAAGATGACGAATCCCGAGAAGCCCATGTAGCCCCAGATGCAGCGTGCACACCCGCAGTAGAACAGCCCCAGCAGCCCATACCCACCAGCACAAACCCATCCATGCAGCCCCACATGCAGCTTCTGACCTGAATGAGTTGCACCGCCAGAGTGCCGCCCAGCCCGGCAAAGATAACGAAGCCAGAGAAGCCCATGTAGCCCCAGATGCAGCGCGCACAGCCGCAGTAGAACAGCCCCACGAGCACGAACGTGGCTACTGTCACCAGCGCCACCATCGCCGCCGCATTCAGCAAGGCCCCCCACAGCCGCTGCCAGGGCGCATCCGTGCTGGTGTGGGGTTGGGGGGTGGGCGGACGGAGAGGAGGGGAGAACGAGAGAGAGAGCATGGGGTGACGTCGTGGGGGGAGGGGGGGGGGGAGTGCAAGAGGAGAGCAGGGGGGTGCCGGGGGGAGCTGGCCCACAGTAGTAGAACAGAACAGCCCCACGAGCACGAACGTGGCTGCTGTCACCAGCACCACCGTCGCTGCTGCGTTCAGCAGCGCGCCCCACAGCAGCTGCCAGGGCGCATCCGTGCTGGTAGGGGGGGAGGGGGAGAATGAGGGAGAAGAGAAGCGCGGGCGATTGGTTGTCATCATTGGACCCACCAGCCCCAGCAGCCCCACGCATTCGGCAGGGCTCCCCACAGGGTGGTGATAGGAGAGCCTGGGCGGGTTGGTTCGCAGTATTTTTGAGACGTCTAAAAAATACACTTTTATCACAGGGCTCCCCACAGGGTGGTGATAGGAGAGCCTGGGCGGGTTGGTTCGCAGTAGAACGGCCCCCCAGGCTCTCCTCTCCCCCCAGCCAGCAAGAACGTGGCTGCTGTCACCATCGCTGCTGCATTCAGCAGAGCACCCCACAGCCGCTGCCAGGGCGCATCCGTGGTGGTGGGGGAGGAGGAGGTGGGTGATGTGACGGAGAGAGGAGCGCATGGGGGTGATTGGTTCTCACCTGACTGACCGGCCCTACCAGCAGCACCATCCCCATGGGCCAGGGCCAGCACGCGCAGCAGCACACGGCGCGTGGCATTGTAACGAGGTGACTTTGGACTCGAGTCAAGAGAGTCACCTCATACCATCATAAGCAGCAGCTTGGAGGTTGAAGGGTTGAAGGGTTGAATTGAAGGCCAGCGCAGCGCCAGCACGCGCGCGCAGCACACGTCCCCTGCTTTCACAACAACGACGAATTCCCTCGTCGCGACATATTCTCCGCAAGCAACATGAGAAGAGACGCGTGTATGCTTTCTCTATAATGTTTCCCCAGTAATGGTTCCCTCTAAGGTTCCTCATAACGGTTCTACATGCGACGCGCGTACCTCTCTCTCTTCCTGATAAACGAGCGTCGCAATGGTAGGCGTCGTGACAGAGGCGCCGTGCGGGGTGAGTGCGAGCACGAGTGCGACGACGAGCAGCATGCAGATGGACACGGGCGTCACGATCGCCACTATCTCCTGAAGCGAGTTGACTTTTAAGTCGACTCAGGAGTCATATGCGTCAACTTAAAAGGCGCAGACGGACGCGGGCGTCACGACACGACCACAAGTACAACATGAAGCAACGTGCGTACCTCTCTTCTTGGTACACCAGCGTCGCAATGGTAGGCGTTGTGACGGAGGCGCCGTGCGGGGTGAGCGCGAGCACGAGCGCGACGACGAGCAGCATGCAGATGGACACGGGCGTCACGATCGCCACTATCTCCTGCCCCAGCGTCTCCAGCAACCCGCCCTCCTCGCCGGACCTCTCGCCGAACCTCCCTCCGGACCTCTCGCCGGACCTCTCGCCGGGCCTCTCGCCGAGCCTCGCGGTTCCGCTATCTCTGTTGCCGTGAGCCGGAACGTAGTCGTGTCGCCTGACTTCTCGCCGTGCTTGCGAGAGAGGTGGACGATCCCTGGTGTCGCACGTGCGATCTCTGCTGTCGCATGGGCGGTCGCTGGCGTCGCCGGGAATTCGCGGGCCTGTCAGCGGCTCCGTCTCGAGCGACTCCTCCTCTTGGCGCGAAAGCAGCGACTGCGACGCGCATTCCGAATCGGAGATCTCAATCTCGTGACGTGGACTTCCCTGATTGGCCTCGGCAATCTCATGACGTGGATTAGAACGGGAGCGGCTCGCAGAGGATGAGGGGTCCGTCCCTGCAGACGACAATGTTGTTGCTGCTGCTGATGTCGATGCTGATGTTGCTATTCCCCTTCCTCCCCCTCCTTCTGCTCCTGCTCCTGCTCCTGCTAATGCTGCTGCTTGACTCGTCCTCGCTGCCTCGGGATCATCCGGCGGTGTTGACCCCCCCATCACAAAGGCTCTGTGCTGGCCTCTCTACCCTTCAGGAACAGCCAATCGACCGCTCGTCCTGTTCTGCGGGTTCATCCACGCTCTACAATCGCGCAGCCACGGGTCCTCGATATCCACGTGGCTCGCGGCGAAGAAGCTCTAGGCTATCTGGGATGCGTCTCCGGAAGAAAATAGACACTCCTAACAAGCTGGAGCCTACTAGGTCAACCTGCTATTCAGACTTAGGCCTCGGCCTACATGGCTGGAAATGACCAGACGACTTGGCGGAGATCCCTAGGTTTCAATTTGGAAGGGCAAATTTCAGGGCTGGGAGATGCCACAGGTCTGTGGCGGTGGCGAACGTCGAACTTCGGTTCGTTCACAGGGAGTACTCTTGCGAAATGCAAGCGTATGTTACAATAGGTTTTCTAATCTACAAGTTATGTTCCTATAGAAAAGTGCCACCGCATCCATGCAAATGTCTACAAGGATCCAATCCAAGCTTTTATTGTATGATACGACTTCCTGATGTACATCAACCTACAAATGCAGATGCAGCAGGCTCTACAAACCCTACAAATTCGTTCCCCTACCCAAGATAGGCGTATTTTCTGGACGCTCAACTTCATGCTAGCTTGGGAAGAACATAGCGGATGAAAAGGTAAATCGCTGGGGCTGTGAAGATGTAGCTATCTGTGCGGTCCAAAATGCCTCCATGTCCCGGAATGAGAGAGCCGGCATCTTTCACTCCGGCCTGGCGCTTGAGAGCCGACTCAAACAGATCACCAAAGAGAGACGCAGCGAAGACAATTACACCGAGCACCGCCGCACTGCAGAATGGGAGAAAGTGATTGTGAACATTGTGTTCCAAAAAGGGGAATGGGAGAGGGTGCAGGAGAGCTTGAGTGATCACGAAAAAAAGAAGACACATTGCAAAACGATTAGCACTTTAGCAGTATGCATTTGGCAAATTCAAATTGTGAACAGAAACCAACCATCCATGAGAAAGCGGGACAGCACCTGACAGGTGTGGCAGGCCAGCTGAAGGCACAGGAGAGGAGGACAGCAACAGAGACTAAAAAGTATAGTCTTGAGGCGCCTCAAAACTAGTGGCATACAATACAGGCATGACAGCACGAAGACAGCACCTGATAGGTGTGGAAGGCCAGCTGAAGGCACGGGAGAGGAGGACGGACACAGAGACTGAAGAGGCCAGCCCGAACAACGCCCCTTCGGCCGTCTTCTTGGGGCTCAGCTCTGCCGAATTAGCAGTGACGGAGAAGTGGTGGGGTGGGGGGATACACATGGCACATGAGGGATGAGGGAGCACGAAGGACAGCAGGAGTGAGTGGCGATGGCTGACAAATGTGGGATGGTGGGATGTGGGATAGGCGGTACCATGTGCGATAAGACAAAAGCCAAGGTGGGGCCATGTGCAGATGCAGGGTGAAGATGAATGTGGGGTAACGAGGGAGATGAGAGCAGGGCGACAGGCGGACGACAGGTTCGCAATTTCTCTCACCAATGATGGAACGATGTTGAGGAAACCAACATTATTTGTGAGTCATTTGAAGCAATTGTTTCATCAGTCCAAAGACTGGCTTTACACCCACCCTCACTCACTCACAATCACACTCACACCCACCGATGAGAGGCGTCTTGCCAAAGGTCTTGCCGCCCAGATACGCCCCCGTGTCGGCAGCAATGACCCCCGCAAAGCCCATGAAGATGGCAACCAACCCCGTCGTCCACAGCGCCGGCCCTCCCAGCAGCGCAGGCCACACCCGCGCCACTGGCGACGACGTGGTGGCTGTAGTCGCCAGCCCACACCGCAGCTGGAATGGCGGGGGGAATGCCGGGGAAGAGAGGGGAGGGAGGCAAGAGTTAAGGGGGAGGGGCACGAGAGAGGAGGGCACAAGCCCTCCCAGCAGGGCGGGCCACACCCGCGCCACTGCGGACGACGTGGTGGCTGTAGTCGCCAGCCCACACCGCAGCTGGAATGGCGGGGGGAATGCCGGGGAAGAGAGGGGAGGGAGGCAAGAGGCACAAGAGAGGAGGGCACAAGCCCTCCCAGCAGGGCCGGCCACAGCCACGCCACTGGTGACAACGTCGTGGTTGTAGTCACCAGTCCACTCCACACAGCAGCTGGAATGGAAACGTGGTGAGGGAGGGAAGGGGAAAAGTGGGGAGAGGGAGGCAACATTCAAAGGGGGGGAGGTACAAACAAGCGAGAAGGGCACAACATAAGCCCTGCAATCCGCCGAGTGGGCCACAGCCGCGCCACTGGGACGTCGTTGTGACTGTAGTCGCCAGACTACACCATAGCTGGAATGGTGGGAGAAGGGGGAAAGTGGGGGAAGAGGGGGGAAGTGGGGAGAGGAAGGCAAGATATTAAGGGGGAAGGGTACAAACAAGCGAGGAGGGCACTACACAAGCCCCGCAACTCGCAGGACGGGCCACAGCCGCGCCACTGGCGACGCCGTCGTGGCTGTAGTCGCCAGTCCACACCGCAGCGAACTGGCTCCAGCGAGGGCGCCTGTGCTGAGTCAGCAGCATGGGTTTTGAGGCGCCTCAAAAGAAGTACGGTAATAGCTCACCGTGACCCAGAAGCTAGGAAGGAAGCCGCAGTAGAAAAGGCCGCAGATGTAGCCTGTGAACTGGCTCCAGCGAGGCCGCTTGGGCTGAGTCAGCAGCATGGCCAGCAGCAGCCCGCCCGCGAATTTCGCTCCCGGAGTCAAAAGCCCACCATTCACCCTGCCATGAAAGATGGGAGCGGAGGAACAAGAGAGCTGAGATAAACGACAGGTTTTGGCTGATAAGTTTCTTTGACATTTCAGAGGCAGTTCACGAGAATGGTCGCCAGGAGGCAAATCAGGAGCTCACCGAACCGTTGGACTTGCCAATCGCTGTTAACCAAGGGAAGGGAAGCTTCAACTTATTTTTTTTCTGGATGCGTACTGGGACCAGTTTTCCGTATTCACGAATGATTATTTTCGTCAGAGACGAGTGTCTCGCGCATTCAAAAACCCAGAATCACGCGGAAGTAATGATACGCACATGGCAACTCATAGAGTAAGCAAATGATCACGTGCGGAGAGCACGCCGCGCCTGGTAAGCTTACGTGGTGTTGGTGGAAGAACCGTTCGTTCCCCAATCCCTTGCCACCGTAGCTTGAATCATAACAACGTAAAGATTGTAAACCCCTATGAACCCGACCCTTGACTCCCTTCCCCGCCCCATCGACACCCCCCTTTCCAAAACCTAAACGCTCAGAACCCCTCTCTCCAACCAATTTCCGATTCCTTCACATCTGTGACTCGTGCTTGTGCAACGCAGCCGGCAATTCAGCCCCGATATTCAAAAACAACTCCGCATCATTTTTCAGCCCTAAGTCACAACAAGCGGCTCGAGAGGTCTGTTTACCGTGTGAATTGCACAGCGATCGCAATACGAAAATCTTACATGGCAATGAGCGGCATGATGGCGCAGCCGATGCAGCCAATGTAAACCGACAGCCGCGAAGGAACGGCCACGTTGTTCAGCTTGGCCCGGGCGTCAATCAGGTTAAAATACTCCGCAGTACCGAGCAGAACCACTCCCGTCAGAAGAACCGTGAACAGCCAGCTCCCCATCAACAGTCCGCCGAAAGCTAGCACTCCAGCCAGCGAGCCAAACTTCACCCGCCGCCAGAATTTTCCCTGAGCCACTTGCTCCTTCTGCTTCTGATCCTGCTGCTCCTGCTGCTGCGGTTGTGGTTGCAACTGCTCCTGCTGCGTTTGCGCTTGGGATGGAGCAGCACTGTCAGACGCAGTTGAAGAATTGCCTGTATCGGACGAAGCCCCCCCGATGCTGCTGCTGGAGGCACTCTGATCAGAGAATTGCGACCTGAAATTAAGCTGCGAAGAGCTGATTCTGCCAGATGCCCCGTGCGCGTCTGAGGCAGAAGTTACACCTCGCAGCGATCGCCTTTTCAGAGTACTAGTGGATGTGTTTGTGTCCATCTGCCTAAGCGTCAATCTGTGTAAGCTTCCCAATGTTGCTGATTCGCTTGTGAGGTGGTGGTAACGCGAGGAACATACTGAACTGGAAGAAGAATTGTTGCGTTTATTCACGCATGCTAGTGGACGAACCGATGAAAAGTATTTAACGTAATTAGATTCAACATGGCTATCACAAAACGTTGCGTTCCCGCTAACATGAAAGAGAGGTGTTCCGAGGATTGATCGACATAACCCTAAGCCCGTCGGCATGTTGTTTGTCACTTGCTCTGGTCTTGTATTTCCCGAATGAAGGAGTTACGAAAGGGCTATTTCTTGACTACGAAAGGGCTATATCTCGACCAGTGAATACCAAGAGCTCAGCCACCAAGTGAAGATGAAGTCCGATCCAAATACACAACCATGCAAAAAAAGGCTCTAGAAGGCCGTGTAACTTGGTTGATTCACAAACACCAATGAGCCTGGATGTGACTGCAGAGCAAAGCTCCAACCACATCAGAAATAGGCGGGTGTGAAGCTGAAGGGGGGTTTTGCAGCTTGCTGGTTGGTGGATCAGTCTCACGACGAATGGAGAGGCACAACGACAGAGGAGATGGGCGTGTTTACTCGTAGAAGTTGGGCTCTGGGTAACCATGTGTTCCATGTTGGATGGGAGGGGACCACTCATATATCTCGTTCCTATCCAATTTCGTATGACTGACGTGGATAGGTTCAACCTGGGGCTTGGTGGGTTGTCGATTTGGCAAAGCTGTGTCATCGCAACGTCACACTGGGCGAAAAGGTAGTTGCATATTTTTTGTCACCTGAGCTTCGCTGGATGCAGCCCATCCACATTTCTTATGCAGACTTTCTTTTTAGGATTTAACTTTGCAGAATATCTTTAGCGCGGCATTTTGAGGTGCGTGTTATAGCGGGAGATGCTGACGTGTGAACTTTTGGGAGATCGCAACTCAACTGCCACCGCGTCTGACAGACGGCCAAAAGGAGCGCCGATGTCAGCCATTCCCACGGTGGACAATTGTGTGCTGCAAAGTGGTAGACGTTGCCACATAAGCAGAAAACCTCCCACCTCAGAACGATCGGCGCTACCAGAGATTGCCACATAAGAGTACTTTTCGATCACACATGGGAGGACCTGCTTAGTTGGCGCTGTAGACTGGATAACGGCCAGCTCGAACCTATCCACCAACAACCACACGAACCCTGATCGTGGCACAGAACTCTCGTCCTTCGCTAGCCTTCACGGAACCAGGTATAACACCCAGAGATCTCATTGTTTCAGCAATCAGCTTTCACACCAAGTTCTTCATCTCCTTTTCCTCCCAGAAAAGGAAAATGGCTTCCATCACCTCGTCTGCCGTTGTTGCCCCAGTTGCCTTCAAGGCAACTGTGGAGGCCTCCGCTGCCTCCTCCGAGTCCGTGTCCTTCTCCGGCCTGAAGGCTGGTGTCGCCACCCCCAATGGCTTCGCCGCCAAGACTGTCTCCAACGGCAGCCGTGTGTCGTGCATGAAGGTCAGTGCTTCAATCCCATTCCCCAGTATATGTCGAGTGATCGGTTAAGTTGGTTCACTTTACGCGTTGTTTTGGTATCATTCGATGTAGTGCTCACATGGTTTTCGAAATGTGCAGGTGTGGAACCCCATTGGCAACCCCCGGTTCGAGACCCTGTCCTACCTTCCCGCTCTCACCGACGACATGATCGTCAAGGAGATCCGGTACATGCTCAAGAACAACTGGGTCCCCGCTATTGAGTTCGACGCCAGCGGTGTTGTGTACAGGGAAAACAACAGCGGCCCCGGCTACTATGATGGCCGCTACTGGACGATGTGGAAGCTGCCCCTCTTCGGCTGCACTGACGCGTCCCAGGTGCTCAGGGAGATCAACGAGTGCAAGTCTTCCTACCCTGGTTGCTTCATCCGTGTTCTTGGCTTCGACAACGTGAAGCAGGTCCAGTGCATGTCCTTCATTGTGCACAAGCCCTAAACGGCTGCAATTATTTGTCGACGTAGCTTATTAATATAAATACTTAGCTTTGCTACGACTATGCACCTGAAAAGGCTGATCAGCCTGGAACATGAGGCAAAAATTCCGATTTGTTTGGACTTACACCATGTTCAGACGGCAACATAGGTTGAGTTGACTGCATGCTACCTTTATTCGTCTGAATTTCCAGGCCTACAGTCTTACTCCAGCGCGTGGAGACGGTAAATTAACTACCGCATGGAGAGGTCTTGGTTCTTACCGGGAGAGGGTTTGTCATGGTAGGTTAACTACCGCATCTTTTCAGACTGTGTACCGTCAGGTACGTTAACTACCGCATGTGACTATTGTGTGTTCGTTTGGACATCACTTGTTGACCCGTGTTCTAATAGAAAACCAAACGTGGCTCACCATCCAAGGTAGCAAAACACTCATTTTCACACATGCCATCTTCTACACTGTCTATTAGTCCTCTGCTACTGTTGTCCCATTTGTTTTCAAAGAAGCCTGGAGGCCTCTGCTACGTCCTCTAGCTCCGTGTCCGTCTCCGGACCGAAAAATGACTTCGTCACGTCATTTTTCCTAATGGCTTCGTCACGTCAACATAATAGTCTCCAACTACAGCCGGGTTCCTGCATAACTACTTTTGTTGAACATTCATAACATACATTTAGAGAATCTTGTTTTTTTTCATCTACCAGCAATTACATAAACCATCTGGAGTAGGCAATGTCTTTGTCCAATTTCAACATCAAGCTCAGTGACCTGATGGAATCAAGTTTAAAGCTACCGGTAGGTAGGAACAGCACAACATTGGTAAGCACGCGTGATGGGCATGTTGGAAAACGAAAGCCGTTTGAAATGAGGGACGCGGTAGGTGTAGGGAAATGACATTGAGCCCACTAAACTCATGTTGTGGCTTAATACTCCACAACAGGAGTTTAGTGCGGTTCGACGATGAAAATATATACGGTACAAAAAGCTAAGCGATTAAAACATTTAGTTTTTCACTCATTGCAGACCTGATGGTTAGCCGAGCCGTAGTTACAGTTTTGTTACCATGGGTCAATGTGCCACCCTGTTTCAACACCACCTGGGGCAGGTGGTCACCCTCAACAAACCACCTGGACCCCAACGGACGAGCCACTCACATCAACTGTAACGGGATGCAACGCCCCGTTCCGGGTAACGCACCCAACTTTCAATCAAACGTGGCATCACGCCGACAATACCGCGGGCAGGCACACCCCTGCCTTTTGGGATACCACATCACCAACCAAAGCAGACCAGCCTGGCAGAGATCTCGCGACGAGCCTGATTCCCAAGCTCTCAGATAAAGTTAGTTGAGTCCGAGCCTATTTCTTCACGAATCGGAACTCTCACGCCACGGGTTACAGTTTGGTGAAGCCCCGCACCTCGGATCTCAACAACCAGAAATGCCGAGCCTGTGGATCATTGCCACATAATAATCAGGCAAGAGCTATCGCTGATGCATTCCGCATTTCTCTGAGCTTTTGGAAATCACATTTCTGAAGCCCTCTTCAAGGCACTCTCCTCCAAGATACAAGGGCGCATTCTTGCTTTGCAGTGACATTTCAGTCTCTCTGGTCAAATCTCCAGTTCCTGATTTCCGAATTTCCGAGTTTCCAGCAATGGCTTCCGAAGGCCCTGTTAAGAAAGCCTTTATCACCGGTATCACTGGCCAAGATGGGTCCTACCTGACAGAGTTTCTTCTGTCCAAGGGCTACGAAGTCCACGGTATCATCCGTCGTTCCTCTAACTTCAACACCCAGCGTCTGGACCACATCTACCGCGATCCTCACGTCTCTTCTGCCAAGCTGAGACTCCACTACGGTGATCTGTCCGATGCTACCGCTCTCCGTCACTGGATTGACCAGATCAAGCCTGATGAGGTTTTCAACCTCGGTGCTCAGTCCCACGTCGGCGTTTCTTTCGAGAACCCTGAGTACACCGCCGATGTCGTCGGCACGGGAGCTCTTCGCCTCCTCGAGGCTGTTCGCAACCACATTGAGAACTCCGGACGCTCCGTGAAGTACTACCAGGCCGGATCTTCCGAAATGTTTGGAGCTACACCGCCTCCTCAAGACGAGAATACTCTCTTCCATCCTCGCTCGCCGTACGCTGTCTCCAAGGTCGCTGCTCACTGGTACACGGTGAACTACCGCGAGGCTTACGGCATGTTCGCGTGCAACGGCATTCTCTTCAACCACGAGAGCCCGAGGCGTGGTGAGAACTTCGTGACGAGGAAGATCACCCGCGCTGTCGGTCGCATCAAGGTTGGCCTTCAAAAGAAGGTGTACCTCGGCAACCTCAAGGCTTCTCGTGATTGGGGCTTCGCCGGTGACTACATCAAGGTACGGAGTTTGATATTGTGCTACATAAACTGGATGTCACAGATGCTGGTTTTAATTGTCATCAAAATTCCAGTTCAGTCGTGTTTCCCGCTCCGTCTCTCTCCTCGACCCTCCCGCAATCCCGTCTCGCTTCGTCCCTCCTGCACTCCCGTCTCGCTCCTCACTCATAATCTAATCATCGCAAAGGAAACATTTGGCAAACTCAAGCAACAAAGGAACAAAATGCCATATTTCTAACGACCACAAGTCCTTCCGATTTGTCTCTACAGGGCATGTGGCTGATGCTGCAGCAGGAGCAGGCTGACGACTACGTGCTGGCAACGGAAGAGTCGTTCACCGTCGAGCAATTCCTCATCGAGGCCTTCGGCTACGTCGGCCTGGACTGGAAGGAGCACGTCGAGATTGACCCGCGCTATTTCCGCCCGTCCGAGGTGGACAACCTCCGCGGATCCTCGGCCAAGGCGCGGGAAAAGCTTGGATGGAAGCCCGAGGTGACGTTCAAGCAGCTGGTGGCGATGATGGTGGACTCGGATCTGGATAAGGCCAAGCGGGAGCAGGTGCTTGTAGAGAACGGCTTCTTGGATAGCAACTTCCAGCCCTAGGTCCCTAAGGTTTCGTGGTTTCTCCTGCAGTCTCATACGTCCTGGTCCTTGGGCACTTACGAACCCGTTGGTTGGGTGGTCTTTGTAGAGAGTCTCGGGTGATTATCTTATCCAGGCAATTGTAAGGTTTGCCTGGTAGCAAGCAACTCTGTATTTACTGACAAAGTTTTCATCATGGCAAATGTATTTTTTACTTCTCCAGCCGTTTCTTCAACTTCCATAGGGTGCGTGAGTGGTAGAAAGGGGCTCTAACTGCTAGGGTGGGTGAGTGGGAGTGAAGGGGGCTGAAACCCCTGGGATGGGTGAGTGGGATGGAAGGGGCCTGAAGCCTTAGGGGAAGGGGGCTGAAGCCTGGGTGTGAGGGGCTGAAATTCCCATCGAGGAGAATGGGGCTGAAACCCTTAGGGTGTTGTGTGGTTCAGGCGATCCTGCTCTTTGCTGCTGCGGTATGTACCGGTCGTTGAAATCACCCACTTGACAACCATGAAGCACATTCACGGAGGTTTAAAACTTATGATTCAGACAAATATCGCATCATCCCCACATGTATGCTGGGTACGCCTCCATCTCCTTGGCCACTGTAAGGGACAGCTCCTCAGCCGTTTCATCCTGCCCTCCTGCAAAATTGTATGCTCTGAATGCGAACTGGAAGCAGCGCCAGAGGAGAAACAGGCCTGCCTTGACCCGAGGCACATCATACACGGGAATGCGCCCATCCACCAGCTCCACTGATGCTCTCAGCTTCATGCTCTCCTGCTCTCACAAAACAGCAGAGAGAAGGGGTTCAGGGTTTCATTGATGTGAGGCACATCGTATGCGGGAATGCTCCCATGCACCAGCTCCACTGATGCTCTCGGCTTCATGCTCTCCTGCACACACAAGGCAGTACAGTGGTAAGGGGTTTAGGGTTTAGGTTTTAGACATTTAGGCAACAATTACGTTCCAGCAATCAGCAACAGAAGCTGCATAGAGAAGCACTTCACCCTTTCAATGGCACCACCGCTGTACGGCAGCCTCTGTGCTGCGCCACACCAGAACCGCTCACCTGAGCTGAGAGCTCCAAGAGGCGGGAGGAGAGGCGCACTGCCGCCGCCTTCACCCTCTCGATGGCGCCACCGCTGTATGGCAGCCGCTGCGCTGCAAACTTCTTAGCGTCCTCCTCCCTGCTCCTCTCCACTGCCTCCACCTCCCTGCGCACGCGGTCAAACAGCCGCTCGCACCGATCCAGACACACTCCCACCGCCGCCACTGACGCCGGGGCTGCCACCGCCGCTGCAGCACCAGCACCAGCTGCTGCCCCTCCGTTGCCCATGGGCAACGCAGAATGAAGGTCGTGGGAGAGGGCGGAGAGGCGCGAGTGCAGCGATGCCGACGCACGCAGCAACTCCAGCTTGCTGCTGGGGAAGCCCTCAAATCGTTGTAGCACCTGAGGGAGAGGGAGGGGGGAGGTGGGACGTGGGACGTGGGATGTGTTTTACTTCTGACTGGCTCTAGCAGTGTCAGCAGCACCAGCAGCTCCAGCTTGCTGCTGGGGAAGCCCTCAAAGCGCTGCAGCACCTGAGGGTGGGGGCAGGAGGTGGAAGGTGAGACGTGCTTTACTCCTGCCTAACTCTAGTGTAACGTCTAGCTTGCTCCTGATGTTGCAGGTTGTTTTTGAGAATTCTCAAAAACAACCTACTCCTGCCTGACTCTAGTGTAACGTCTAGCTTGCTCCTGCGGAAGCCTTTATAACGCTACAGCACCTGGGAGAGGGGGAAGCAGGAGGTGGGAGTCAGAAAAACGGGAAATAAAGACACCTGCAAGAGGAAGGAGGACGAAATTGAAAAAGTCCGCAGAAGTGAAAAAGCGCGACAACAATTGAATAATCGTGGCACCTGCAGGTTGTTGGTTACTTGGCTACTCAGCCACTTAATTACTGGTCCACCGATTTACTGATTTACTCGGTTCTTCCTACTGGTACATTGATCTACTCGATGAATTTCTCGGTTACTCAGTTATCCAGTTACCTGACTCCATAGGATTCACTCGGTTACCTGAGTCTCGTCAGTCAAGTCTTGAAGAAGCGACGCTATCTTGGCTCGAAGCGCCACCAGCTCGGCATTTACAATCACTGACTCCTTATGGCTACCACCGCCACCACCGCCGTTGCCAATTTCTCGGATTTTCAAGCACAAAGTCACTCGACTACTTACATACCCCCTTGCTCGAGCAACAACGCATGGGTCTCCTCAGTTACCTGGCTCTGAATGGTTACCCGGTTACCTGAGTCTCATCAGTCAAGTCTTGCAGAAGCGACTCTATCTTGGCCTGAAACGCCACCAGCTCGTCGAAATCGGTGGTCTGGAGGAAGGCCGTCAGCTCAGCCTTTGCCTGTTTTGAGTCAACTCCGAACTTGCTTACCTGAGTCCATTGGGAATTACCTGAGTCTTGTCAGTCAAGTCTTGCAGAAGCGACTCTATCTTGGCTCGAAATGAAACCAGCTCATCGAAATCGGAGGTCTGGAAGGCCTCCAGGTCGGCTTTTGCCTGCCAGATGGCGTCTGCATGCTTCACCACGTCAGCCTCTATCTGCTGGAAATATGCTGAGCTGGAGGATTGAGAACGAGGGCCAAATGCACGAAGGGGTTTGAACGAGAGCGAGTGAGGGAGAGGTTTGACGTTTAGGGCAGGTGGACAGGACAGGGCAGCCCTGTGTCCCCTGTATACAGTGGCCACTGACTTTTGAGTCGACTGAAAAGGTGGACAGGACAACCCTGTGTGTCCCCTGTACACAGTAAGTAGCCACTGTATGCAGAGGACAGGTGGAGAGAGCAATGGAAAACACGGTCAGACTGAATGCAAGATATGACCAAAAACCTGATTGGACAGAAGTCACGAACCCACGGAAGAGTTCTGAGACGTCTCACACACGCACTCACAGACGAGTAAGAAAGCATGCGGTGCAGCAGAGCAGGAAAGCAATGAAGCAAGAAAGCATGCAGTGCAGCAGAGCAGGAAAGCAATGAAGCAAGAAAGCATGCAGTGCAGCAGAGCAGGAAAGCAATGAAGCAAGAAAGCATGCAGTGCAGCAGAGCAGGAAAGCAATGAAGCAAGAAAGCATGCAGTGCAGCAGAGCAACTCACTAGTGATGGATTTCTGTCAATGCCAGAGCAATCGACACCCCGCCCCCTCCCTGCCGACTTTTTGAGTCGACTCAAGAGACATACACAGACGGAGAAGAGCAAGAAAGCAAGAAACAGAGCAGAGCATAGCAGAGCAGAGCAGAGCAACTCACTTCTGATGTATTACTGCCAATGCGAGTGCGATCGACACCCGCCCCCCTCCCTGCGGCCTCCCTCTCATGCGCCCCGCCCCATCTCCTGCAACCCCTCCCCCTCCCCTCCCCTCTCCTCCCCCCACTCCCACACCTCCCCCTCCCCCTCCACCTCCCCCTCCCCGGCCGTCCCCCAATGCCTGTGCGCCCACAATAGCTTGCTCCACCCGACTCTTGAGCCCGCGATACAGATGCCCCATTCGGTTCGACCGCCGCAACCCCCCTTCCCCAACTCCTCCACCGCTGCCCCCTGCCCTCCTCCCTGCGCCTGCCTCCCCCTCCCCCCTTTGCCTTGCCCCTGCAGGCGTCCCTGGGTGGGACCGCTGGGGAGAAGGGGAAGGGGGAGGAGGGGGGCGCGGGGGAGGCGGGGGAGTGGGGAACCGAGGCTCCGAACGTGTGGGAGAGGTCCGGGAGGGAAAAAGAGGCTGGGATGTGGGAGGAGGGGAGGGAGGGAGGAGGTGGGGGACGGCGAGGGGGAGGAGGCGGAGGAGCAGGAGGAGGGGGACGGGGAGGCACAGCGGTAGCTGTAGAAGAAGCTGCAGCAGCAGAACAAGAGTTCTGAGCTTTCCCTGCTGCTGCTCCTGCTCCTGCCCTTTCCTCCTCCTTCTCTTGCTCCTCTAGCTCCTTCTTGGAAGCTTCTGCTGCTGCCACTGCTGCCAGAACAGCTGATCGCGCCCCTCCCTTTCCCCCTGGCCTGGACGTTGCTTGTGTGGGAGGAGGGGGGGCTTTAAGGGAAGGAGGCGGAGGAGGGGGAGGAGGCATGCCTGCTCCTGCTCCTGCTCCTCTCCCCGTCCCTCTTCCTCCTCCTGGTCCTGCTGCTCCTGCTGCTGATGTTGCTGCTTGCGAAGTTGGTGGGGGAGCAGGGGGCAGGGAAGAGAGGAGGGAGGAAGGAGAGGAAGCAGAGAGGGCGAGGTGACCCTGCTTGCCCCATCCCGTCCCTCCTGCTGCTGGTGCTATTGCTCCTGCTGCTGCTGCTGCTGCTGCTGCTGAAACTCTGGCTGCTCTGCTAGTGCTGCTGCCACCCCTGATGCCAGCACCACCAGCACAGGAGGCAGCAGCAGTAGCTGCAGGCGCAGCACAGGAGGCAGCAGCAACGAGAGCAGCAGCAGCAGCAGCATCAGGTCTAGGAGGGATCACAGCACCAGGAGCACCAGCAGCAATGGCAGCAGCAGCGTCGAAACGAGCACTAGCAGCAGCAGCAACCGCAGCGGCAGACACACTCCCAGCCGCCTTCCTTGCTGCTGCCACTGCTGCACTTGCTGTTTCTCCCTTTCTCACTCCTCTCACTACCCCTCCCCCACTCCCCAGTACCCCCATACCGTCCCTCACTCCTCCCCTGCCCCATTCACTGTGCCCTGGTCTCACATTACCTCCTACTCCCACTCGTAAAGACTCATCCTCGTTAGAAGAATGATGGGTTAAAGAAACAACATCGGCCAGTGACATGGAAGCAGAGGGGGAGCTTAGGCTGCGTGTAACGAGAGCAGCACTAGGGGCCGGTTTACCAGCAACAATAATGGCAGCTGATCTCGCAGCAACAGTGGTAGCAGTAGCTGACTTTGCAGCCCAGGACACGGAAAAGACAGGTGGGGGGGGAGTTAAGGGGCCGGGTCGTGCAGATTTGGGTGATGGGAGGGTTAATGGAGGAGGGAAGAACGCAGGAGGGTGGAAAGTCGGGGGTGAGGGAGGGGAGGGAGGAGAGGGAGGAGATGGAGGAGAAGGAAGGGCAATAACAGCACCAGCAGCAGCAGCAGCAGCAGAACGAGCACCAGCACCACCACCACCACCGCCAGCAGCAATAGGAGGAGGAGGAGGAGTGGCAGAGGAAGTGGAAGCAGCAGCAGCGACAGTGGCTTGGAGAAGCGAAGCAGTGTGAGGGGTGGGCGGGCGGACGAAGCTCGGAGGCTCAAACGAATCTGCCCACCCTTCTTCCATCTCCTCATCCCCCCATCCACCCTCCCACTCCCTCTCTCTCATCTCTCCTCCTCTTCTTCTTCTTCCTCCTCCTCCTCCCCATCCACCCCCCCACCCTCCTCCTCCTCCCCTTCTCCTCTCTGCTACCCCATCTCGCCCCCGTTCGGCTCCTACTGCTGCTGCGCCTCCTGCTCCTCCTGCCATGCCTCGGCTGGTTGGGAAGCTGGCTTCCGAGCCTGAGGCCGAGGCTGGCGCAGGCTGGGCCGAGGCTGGGGCGGAGGCTTGGGAGGTGAGGGAGCGGGCGGCCTGCTGTTGAAATAGGTCCATCTTGCGAAGAATGCGCCGACCTGAGGGTGAGGGTGGTGGGCATGTGGTCGGGAAGGGGTTCTGACTTAGGAAAAAAAATCATGCGGGTGGGGGCACAAGGGATGGTGGCACGAGGGGTGGAGGTATGAGAGGTGGAGGCATGAGGATGGGGTACCAACCACTATCCAGAGCTGATGTGGAGTCAAACCAGGAATATCTATTCTTGGTGATATGAGTGTATTTTGGGGACGTCTCAAAAACACTCATACTTTTGAGACGTCTCAAAAACACGCTCATTTCTGAGACGTCTAGAAAACACAGTCATTTTTTAGACGTCTCAAAACACACTCATTTCACGTGGCTATCCAGAGCTCATGTGGAATATTTATGCTTGAAGGGCTTACTGATCACTCAGCTGTGACTAAATTGTCATATGGGAACAGTTTTGTTTGTCAACCTGCTTTACCAAAGAAGTCTGTTTCTAAAGACTTCATCACCCACCCAGCGAGTCGACTCAATAGCCACCTCTGTGACTCTGTTCCGTGACACCTTACAACTCACTCAGTGACTCGAGTGTGAGCGGCCCATCCTCTGATGATGGCGTTACCCCTCCTCCTCCTTTTCCTCCTCCACTGCCTCCTCCTGACAACACCAGCACATCAGCCTCTCCGTCTCTCCCTGCCCTCCTATACTCCCCCCGCGTACCCTTGTAGCTGCTGCTACTGGCCCGGTTGCTGCTGTGACTACTGCTGCTGCTGCTGTTACTCTGCCGAACTGACCTCTTTGAATTCTCAACAGTACCTGCCCCAGCACCGCTGCTCTTCAACCAGCCATGGCCTCTATCACTAACGCCGTCCCTGTTGCTTCGGTTGGAGCGCTGAGAGCGTGGCGTGTGAGGGGGGGTGGTCGAGCGGAGGAGATTAGATGCGGAGCGAGAGGAGGAGAGGAGGGACGTGGAGGAGTGAAAGAGGGGGCGGACGGAAGGGGAGAGGGGGCGGACGGAGGGGGAGAGGGGGTGGCGGAAAGAAGGGGGAGAGAGGGGGCGGGGAAAAGGGCCCCGCGAGCCAGCAACGGAAAGACTCTGCCCACTGTCCTTTTTTCGGGGCGAGGCAGAGAGGACAGCAGAGCGGTGGTGAGCCCATGCGCTTTCCATGCGGCACAGCGTGCTATAGAATGCCTCTAGACGCTCGCCCATGGGCTGCTGCTGCTGCTGCTGCTGCTGTTGCTGGAGACCCATGGGATTGTGGTGCTGCTTCTGCTTCTTCTGCTGCTTCTGCTGCACAGAGTGCGGCAGTGCTGCCCCCTTGTGTGCCTGCAGCTTCTGGTTAGGATCGTGTGAGTGTGCGTTGGGAAGGGCCTCCATTGTGCTCTCCAGAATCTGACAGTTGATCGGCAAAAGAGAAGGGAAGGGGCGGGGGGACTTTTGAGCTGACTCAAGAGTGCGGCAGTGCTGTCCCCGTGCGTGGCTGCAGCTTCTGGTTTGGATCGTGCGAGTGTGCGTTGGGAAGAGCCTCCATTGTGCTCTCTAGAATCTGGATTTGGAGCAGCGGGGGGGGCATCAAGTAGGGTGGGAGAGGGGGAGAGTGCAGAGGGAAGGGAACTAGTGATTGAGTGTGCGTTGGAAGAGCCTCCATTGTGCTCTCTAGAATCTGGAATCCGATCAAGGCGGAGGGAAAGCGGGGGGAGAGAGGGGAGGATGGCCACATGGAATCACTTTGTCTTGTCGTTCCTCGCATCCTAGGAGTCTCAACACTCTTGTAAGCCCGTTCGCTATAGTAACACCCACGTAACAGCACCAATCCCTACACTCACACAAAAATATCAACACCCACCCTCCCCAGTTCAACCCCCATGGCTCACGTCCTGCATGTCAGCGTCGCTCCCTGGTGGTGGCAGGTGCAGCGACGAGTGCAAATCAGCACCCAATGATCACACAGACGCCAAACACATCAGCACCCACACCAACCCGATCCCAAGGGACTCACGTCCTGCATGTCAGCGTCGCTCCCTGGTGGTGGCAGGTGCAGCGACGAGTGCAAATCAGCACCCAATGATCACACAGACGCCAAACACATCAGCACCCACACCAACCCGATCCCAAGGGACTCACGTCCTGCATGTCAGCGTCGCTCCCTGGTGGTGGCAGGTGCAGCGACGAGTGCAAATCAGCACCCAATGATCACACAGACGCCAAACACATCAGCACCCACACCAACCCGATCCCAAGGGACTCACGTCCTGCATGTCAGCGTCGCTCCCTGGCGGTGGCAGGTGCAGCGAGGAGCGCAGGCAGATGAGACGGCTCCTCAGCTCCGCCAGCACCACCAACCCGCCCAGCCACCCCTTCCCCTCCCCCCTTTGCTGCAGTTGAGGAACGGGGGAAGACAGAAAGACAGAGAGAAGACTTTCGAGGCATGTCAAACGGCAGGTGCAGCGAGGAGCGCAGGCAGATGAGACAGCTCTTCAGCTCCTCCAGCACCACCAGCCCGCCCAGCCACCCCTTCCCCTCCCCCCTTTGCTGCACCGGACCGGAGGAACAGGAGAGGGCAGAGGGAGGACAGAGGGAGGAGAGAGGGAGGACAGAGGGAGGAGAGAGGGAGGACAGAGAGGACTTTTGAGGCGTGCCTAAGGGCAGGTGCAGATGAGTTTCCTCCTCAGCTCTGCCAGCACCACCAGCCCGCCCAGCCACCCCTTCCCCTCCTCCCTTTGCTCACCGGAGGGATACGGGAGGAAGGAGGGAGAGAAGTGGCAGGAAGGAAGGAGGAAAATGGGAGGAAAGGGAAAGGTGGCACAAGGAGGGCAGGAGATCCAGATGGGCGGGTGAAAGAGGATGGCATCTAGCTCCCCCCTTTGCCGGCGAGCATGCACATACATCCATGCATGCACATATATCCATGCGTGCACATACATCCATGCATGCACATACATCCATGCATGCACATACATCCATGCACGCACATACATACATCCATGTATGCACATACATCCTTGCGTGCACATACATCCATGTATGCACATACATCCATGTATGCACATACATCCATGCATGCACATACATCCATGCATGCACATACATCCATGCATGCACATACATCCATGTATGCACATACATCCATGCATGCACATACATCCATGCATGCACATACATCCATGCATGCACATACATCCATGCATGCACATACATCCATGCATGCACATACATCCATGCATGCACATACATCCATGTATGCACATACATCCATGCATGCACATACATCCATGTATGCACATACATCCATGCATGCACATACATCCATGCATGCACATACATCCATGCATGCACATACATCCATGCATGCACATACATCCATGCATGCACATACATCCATGTATGCACATACATCCTTGCGTGCACATGCATCCATGTATGCACACGCAGCAGGCATGAAGCAGCACTCACCGATTTCAGTTGGTGCAGGTGGGAGAGGTTGACGTCCAGCCTCTCTTGCAGTGGCAGGGCGTGGGGAGCCACAAGGCACTCTGCATCGGGCCCCAGCAGCTCGTACAGCTGTTGCTCTGCTTCCCTCACGCCCTCCTCCAGCTCTGTGCGCTGCTGCACTGCTTCTCGCACTGCCTGTGATGGGAGTGATAGGGGAAGATTTTGGCAGGGATAGATGGGGGAGGTTGCAAGGAAAGAGCGTGGGGGGCCACGAGGCACTCTGCATCGGGCCCCAGCCCAGCAGGCCGTACAGTTGTTGCTCCGCTTCCCTCACACACTCCTCGAGTTCTGTACGCTGCTGCACTGCCTCCCGCACTGCCTGCCATGGGAGAGAGGAGTTGGAGGGTGGTTGAAGAGAAAGGGAGTGGGGTCAGGCACTCTGCGTCAGGCCCCAACAGCTCGTACAGCTGCTTCTCTGCCTGCCTCACTCCCTCCTCCAGTTCCGTACGCTGCTCCACTGCCTCCCGCACTGCCTGCCATGGGAGAGAGAAAATAAGGTTTTGCATCTCATGGCATGGCGTGGCATGGCACGGCACGGCAAGCGACAACAGGAAATGACACTGTGAACACAAATCCTACGATCGCTGCCAACTACTTTCTTTCTTTATAACGCTTCTTTTGTTGACTCACTTCGGAAGCACACAAGCCATCTCAACTGTAGTGCTTCTTTAGAATCGTCCCAACACATGGGCTGCTACAACTGTCACAGCACACCAACAGTCCACGTCATCACCTTCTCGTAGGCCTTATCCACAGCATCTGCAACGGCCAATCGCAGGTCGTCTGAGCGAATCAGCTTATCCTCTCCTATTTCCTGAATGACACAGAGAGGAGAATCAAAGAGCCAACGCATGAAGGGAGGGGGAAAAAGAGAGAGAAGGGGTTGGTAGGAACACAGGGAAACGAACGAGCAGGAGAAAGGGTAGGACTGAAGGATGTGGGAAGTCAGAGAAGCAGCATGGGGACGAAATTGGTAGGCCACAAACAACAGAGAGAATCTTTCGTCAATAGTTGCAATATCCATGGATTCTTGTCCTCTTCCCTCATGTTCCCTGAGTACACGCTTCCTCCTGCCTCTCATGACTTGTAACGCCATTCCCATGACTTGTAACGCACCTTCCGTGACTTGTAATGTACCTCCCACTACATGTAGCGCTCCTCACATAGCTAGAAACGGACCTCTCACGCCTTGTAACGCTCCTCCCGTGACCAGCAACGCACCTTTTACGCCTTGTAACTCACTTTTTACGACTTGTAACGCACTTCTCGCAACTTGTAACGCAGTTCTCACGACTTGTAACGCACCTCCCAGATGACGTGGAGCTCGGCCTCCCAGTCGCCGCGGCGAAGCGACGAGTCGTCGAGGTTCTTGTGCGCGTTGAAGAGCGTCTTGAGCTTCGGTACCTTGGGCCCGCACTGCCCCGCCCCCGCCTCGCACTTGCACCAGCAGTGACTCATCCTGACCCCAGATTCGCTAGTGACGACGGAGGGCTTGCTACCGACGACAGCAGTGGCTCATCTTGACCGCGGATTTGCTAGTGAGAATCGCAGTGACCCATACTGACCCAGGATTCGCTAGAGAAAGAATCGCAGTTACTCATTTCTATGACCTCTAAGGGTACATTCAAGGAAAAAGGATTCAGTGACGGCTATGGCAGCACGTGGTGAGAGGAGTCGGCGAGAATTCGAATGTCACATGCACCTAACAATGGTCTCATGGCTTGCGTTATTTATTAGAAGTCCTTGTAGTTTCTGCAAACGGAAGCATTTGAGAAGTGAATCACACGATCGTTGTGGTATGATACCATCATTAGGAAGACTAGCAAACACGGTAACTTCAGAGATCAAAACTATTCAAGGTGAGAGGCGTCCCATGCATGGTCACGACTAGGAGCTACTTTTGCTGTGCCGCTCGTTGCAACTCAAGTGCGACCAAGCCATGATCGGACGGCCATGACCGATTGTCAGCGAGGCTGACGGAATGTTATGGAACTTTTGAAAATGAGGTGACAGACTCAAGAGGACCCGAGACGCCATCTGTGATCAGTGCAAGCACCCGAGAAAGCACCTAGCCTGAGTTGCAGAATCTGGGATCCTCGATGTTGCCGAAGCAAGCTCCGTTATGCGTTTTGTCTGCTTCCATGGCCAGTAGCGAAAAGGTGATGCTGTTATCACCATTCTTATTTCAGTAGTGGAGCCTTTGAAGCCAACTCAAATACTGATATCAACACCACATCACAAAAACCCAACACAGTACAAGATAAGCTGACAAAATATCAGCAGCATATACATTGCAACTACTGGATAATTACCACTAAACGAACACTCTACGGCACACGGTCATAGTTTCAGTCTTGAAGTGAACTTAGTCCCTCCAAGCACTGCCAGCTCAGCAGCAACTGAAACCATCATGGCCTCCAGCTCATCCTTCCTATCTGACACAGGGGCCTCCAAGTTGTCCCCCGCAGTCAACGGGGTCAAAGCAGGAGCAGGAGCCTGTGCCAGCCCCTTTTCCCTTGCTGCACCCGCTCTCCAACTATCAGCTGCAGCGGCATCCATATCGTCACTGGTCCCGCTCGTATCTTCACTGGTCCCGCTCGTCCCACTGCTACCACTGCCACTGCACCTCCCACCAATGCTGATGCAACCCTCCTCCTCCGCTCCCACTCCCCCATCTCCCCCTCCCTGCTGCGGCACCGCCCCTCTCCCACCCCCACCCACCCCCTTCCCCCTCTGCCTGGGCACAGTCGCATGGCCCCACGCAGCAATACAAGCCCTCGTAGCCCGCCTCACATCCTCATCCCTCGCCGGCCCCAGCCCACACACAGCCGCCTGGATCACCGGCGGCGAGTCTAAAAACTGGAAATGCCCCGCGTCTCGCAGCACAACCTCCCAGCTGGGGTTACCAGCCTCTTTAAAGAACCAGCGGTAGTTGGAGGCGGCAGGGGCGCAGTCCCCAGGGTAGCCGCCGCCCACGACGAGCGTGGGGAGGGAGAGGGCCAGGCCCTGGTTGGCGGGGTTGGCATCAGCCAGAAGGTGTTCGATGGCACTGTTGCCTGCCCTCATGGCTGCCACTGCTGACGGGTAGCCGGGGGCCAGAGGCGCGTAGACTGCAGGGGTGAAGGTGGGGGGGAAGAGGGGTTGAAAGAGAGTTAGTTGAAGAACCAGAGGTTGGCGGGGTTGGGCTGGGCGAGGAGGTGCTCTATGGCACTGGAGCCTGCCCTCATAGTTGCCACTGCTGAGGGGTACCCGGGGGCCAGATGCGCGTAAACTGCAGGGGGGGGAGGCCCAGGAGGGATAGGGGGAAGGATACAAAGGGAGGGGTGACGGGGTGAGACAGGGCATGGGAAAACGGGTCAATGGCACTGGCGCACGAGCCATGCTCGTGCTGAGGGGAGGGGTACTGGACGACGAGGGTGGGGAGGGAGACAGCCAGGCCTTGGTTGGCGGGGTTGGGCTGGGCAAGGAGATGCTCGATGGCACTGGTGCCTGCATGCATGGCTGCTACTGCACACACATGTGTGATTAATTAACTATGTGCCCTGCACACACATGTGTCTGACGGGTGTGTGCTGGTGCTGGTGCTTGGGAACTCACTTGTGTTATCGACGGGGTCGACGAGGCCGAGGGAGAGCACTCGAGGGTCCATGGCTGCTGCCAGCACGCTCACCTTGGCTGCACATGAGCACACGCATGCATGGATGCACAGGGGATGGGTGGGTGTACGCCATACATACATTAGAAGGAACAGACACACACACATACATGAATGCACACACACACACACAAACAAAGGCAGTTGAGGGTCCATGGCTGCTGCCAGCACGCTCACCTTGGCTGCACACGAGTGCATGCAGAAAGGCAGCAATAGTGACGATCGAGAGTAGAAGGAGAACGAAATACACACTCGGGAGCGAATACACACTTGCATACACGTGAAAGAGAATCACACAGGTGTTCACAGCACAGAAACACAATAGGGAGCGGAGATCTTACCTCCTCTGGAGTGGCCACAGAGGTAGACCCGGGTGTTGTCTGCTATCCTACGAAGCAAGTGACTGCAGAGGGGAGGGGAGCGGGCAACCAGACGACCCATGAGAGCAGCTGCAACATGAGTTTTGCTGGGCCTTTGCTGCTAAGAACCATAAGTGAGTTAACTCAAAAGCCACAGCCGCTGCACCATGTTGGCCTTGAGCTAACAAAACGACAGAAGCCTGGCTGCGGCAGCATGGCATCACAGGAAAGAACCTTAATGAGAAAAGTTCGACAATGATGAGGACGATGGCATGATCAGACTCACCTGGTGCCAGCCCAGTTGATGAGCTGAGTGATGAACCGTGCACAGATGATGTCGTCCAGAGGGCCCATCAGCCCCTCCACCTGCCATGCATGCACCCGTGACTGTGTGAGTCAGTCAGGTCACTTGGCAGTTAAGTCAGTAGCTAAGTTGGTCCGTCGGTCAATTGATTGTTTGGCTGGTTGGTCGGTCAGTCAAATCAGTCAGTCAGTCAGTCAGTCAGGGGTGGTGGCAAGCACTGCATGAAACAGCAGTTGCCACTGCGTGAATCAAATATGCAATACTCACAAGCCTAAGGGTACCTAGTGAGGGACACAGAAAAACAAGAAAAAGGAAAGAAAAACCAAACACGCCCACCGAACGTGGCCCCCCTACCGAACCTTATTGTAGGTGACGACAGCGAAGCCCCAGCTGGCGAGGTGCTGGGCGTAGCTACATTGGAGTAACTTCTGAGAATCCCAAATGCTCCCTGCACCTCGTTGTAGGTACGCACGCCCCCCTACCGTACCTTATTGTAGGTGACTACAGCGAAGCCCCAACTGGCGAGGTGGTGGGCGTAGCTGCGGTACTGCGCGGAGTCCAGCAGGAACCCGCTGCTGAACACTGCCAAGGGGAACTTGTCCTCCTGTGGGGAGCGATGGGGAGCGATGGGGAGCGTGGGAAAGGGCGGGAACATGGAGGAAAAGCGAGGGAGAAGGGCAACGGGAGCAGGAGGGGAAGGCAAGAGGTGGGTGGCAGCGGGAGTGGAAGTGGGTGGAAGCATGGAAACACGGAGTCCAGCAGGAACCCGCTGCTGAACACCGCCAGGGGGAACTTGTCCTCCTGTGGGGGGGTGTAGGGAGCAGGAGAAGGGGGGAGAACGAGGGAACGGGGACGCGGCAGAGGGAGTGGGAGTGGGTGGGAGCATGGAAACACGTAGTCCAGCAGGAACCCGCTGCTGAACACCGCCAGGGGGAACTTGTCCTCCCGTGGGGAGAGGAGCAGCAGCGAAGCAGGGCGGGCAGAAGTGTGGGAGATGATTGTGGCACAGGAGAAGGGATTGGGGGGGACAGTGAGACGGGAAGGAAGGTGTGACGGGGGGCTAAGGGATCACCTCAAGTAAAGAGAGGAGGGGGAAAAGGGGGGGGAGGAGAGAGGGGGAAGGGGGAGAGGAAGGGGGGACATGGAGCACTGCACGGGCATAGGCAAGACGATGAGAGTGAAAAGGGAAGCAGTTGACCGACCTGTAACGAGTATTGAGGCGTCCATGACGTGTGCCGCATCCTCGCTGGGTACGTCACCGTTATCCGCAGCAAGCAGCCCCCTGCTGCGCAATCCGGGAAGCAGGATGCACACGTGTGCTCCTGATGGTACAGATTCTCCACATCGTACGGTCCAAATTCGCTGAATCTCTTCTCCGCAATCAACCTCTCGTGAACAGGCACGAGTCGGGCAGCGGACCCCGCTTCAGACACCCACAGGCCTTGTTTGTCGTCTAGCAGGCTGCTCAACTCCCCAGGAAGAGAGTCAACGTCTGGCTGTAACGGTAACGGTAACGGAGTCGCGTTACCCGAACCCTGGATGGACCATCGCCGGCCTGTGTTACTGCGTAACGGCCGGCCCGCTCTGTCGCCTCCACCTTCTAGAAGAATCCCTGCTCCGGCTAATGTGGCTCCACCAAGTAAGAACCTTCGGGGTATCGCTCGTGAGCTATCCTGCTTAGCATCCGCAGCAGACCTAGCTTCCGCTCCTGAACAGTCACGCGGTAATCGTGAATCTTCCAAGTCTTGTGGGTATTGTTGTGAATCCTGAGACCCCAAGTTGGTGGTAGGAGCGCTCTCTCCTAAGGTGTTGCGGCCTGACTCGTTGCTGCCTTCTGCACGTAGAGAGGAGAAAATGAAGGGTGTGATCGAGTGAAATGCAAAAGCAGGAATGGAGGCTCAAATGACCGACACACAAAACGTCTGAAGTGCCGATTACCTGATGACGTCGAGGAGTCGTTTTCTGAACATCTTAATATTCTGAGAGCGTGAGTGTAGCCTCGAGAGGGAGAGAAGTTTTTATGGAAATATTTTGATTGAGACCTGGACAGAGCGGCGGAGAAGCTGTTTGGCAGCGTGACAAGCTTCTGTGCGATCGCAAAATCCATGACGCAGTGGAATGTCTTCGTTTCTTAATGCGGCGAACGTCGTCGTCAGCAAAGCTCGAGTACGCCAATATATTGAACAGCAGAGGTTTGCAAGGGTCGTTAGAACCTCCTCAAGTAAGAGATCGAGGCCTTGTTCTGTGGCCCCTTAACTCAGAGTTAACTGGGTTCGTGGTGGCTTCATTAACTCAGGCCTTACACGTGTGAACGTTACAATCACACCGTGCCAGCTAACTCAGAGTTAGCTAACTAGGGTCACAAATACGCAAAGTAATAACTCAGGGTACGCTCCGTAGGAAGCTTGTAGGGAATCTTCTTTCACGGGCAAACTAACTCAGAGTTAGTGCTCTCGCTTACTCTAGCTTTTGGGGTGAAACTCAATACACTACTCAGAGCGCGATTCGAGCAGGGTAAACCTAGTGTAACATCAATTTGGTAAAATTTCGGAATCATTCACCCCAAACGATTAATTCCCACCAATCTCATTTCTCAAAATCTTACCATTCCGCCATATTTGTTTTGTTATATGCGATCGGGGCAGTTAGGGCACAACCGGAAAAGTTTTACGATAGAGCTTTCAAGAACCCCCACGCAACTTCCTTAACTCGGAGTTACGAGGGGCCACAGATCACCCACGTGAGTTACTACTCAACATTCACACGAGCGTAATGATGCTTTGTTGGTGATTCACACGAGCCTACACGGCTCGGTAACTCAGAGTTAGCTAACTCTGAGTTAGCGCCACAGAACAAGGCCCGAGAGGCCCCTGTCGCGAAGGTGGTCGGCTTGGGTGCTACACACAGGCACCTCGACACCTTGTTGGCAAGAAAATGCTTGCGCCGTGCTGACTAACGGAAGGACGTGTGGCTCAAACTGGGGCCCTCGTTGACATGGAATAGCCATGGCGGAGCGGTCTGACCATCCGAGGCAGCAGAACACGTGTTTTGACTGTCTCGTGTTTTGATCACCCAACCCAACACTTGAGCTCTGCTCAGCACACCCTGCTTTCTTGAACCCCACGAACGACCTCCACAAGAAACTGGGACGGAATGCACGTCCCGACTGGATTTATACCACCGTTTGTTACACTCCAATATTTCAGGACTGGTTTCTGAAAGGCCAACGGAGTATCCGGTGTTTGCTAACTATCCCAGTTGCGACAGAACTGGCACTTACGACCCCCGGTCCGCGAAACCATCGATTTAGTGCCCCTCCCATTTGTTCTTGGGCGGAATGGCTGATGTCTACCGTTGTGGTTCAAAACTCGAATCCAACCAATCGCAGCACCTCAAATCGAAGTCTCCGACAGCTGATGCAGGACTTCGCACACTTGTGGCATTTTTTCGCCTGCTTTTGTAACCACCCTCACACGAATCCTTTTCCAACCGAACAAATCAAACCAGCCCGTAAAATTGCCCAGACTAGGCTGAGAATCGCTTACGTGGCGGATCCTACCCATATCTGTTCCTGAATGACTGGCTACGGAAGTAGCGGCCACGTCGCAACTCCATCACGGCACATCTCTTCCCCAACCATCCCATGTGCGATGTCCCGCGCTCCACCACCAGCAGCCCCTATCGATCAATGCACCTTCTCCATTGTTGCTTCCTTTCCTTTCCTTTCCCTCTCCCACAGGCCTCAACACACTCCCCAGCATCCCTCCCTCACACACTCCCCCCTTCTATTCGCTCCTCCACTCAATCTCCTCTAGTGACCAGTCCTGTCCCACCTCTGCTTGGTCTAACCTCGCGCATCCCTGCCAGTCCTGCGGTTCGGTTCAATTTCTTAGTCTGGGGGGACTGGGGTTTCTCTTCAAGCAGGAGCAGCAAGCGTCATTTGTTAGCTACGATTCGAGTGACTGCAATAGATGGTTAGTTTGAGCATCGGGTAGCGGAATTGTTGAGTGAGATCTGCTTGCGGGTTTCCTAGTTCTCACTCAACCGCTCCCTATCCGAGTTCTTTTGACTATCAATCGATAAGTAGCTGGTACGCGTTACTCTGAAAGCGGCGTCGCCCTTCCGAGCAGCACCAGGCATCTAGTATTCTGCAGATTCGAAATTCTAGTTCAAATGTCAACAGGCCTTTCCCATGCAGGATTCCGTTGCAGACTCAACCAGAAGAGGTTACCAACAGATACTCAACGCAGGTGTCGCCGACGTGCAGAGACATCATTTAGGTTCTCACCTCTTGAGTACACTTACCCCCACAACTCTCGCCAATGCCTGGATCATCGAAAGCACCTACAACCTACAGTGGTCAGCACTCCAGCCCTTGCCCCGCTGTTGATATCTCGCCTGTTGTCTCGAGAAAGCACTTATAGCTATAATGGATGGATTTTTACTCGTTTCAGGTCTCGGGACTTGGCGAGCCTGCGAAATTCTGTCCCTCGAGGCTTCACATTTCGGACATGACAGGGAGCACACTGGCACTAGCCGTGTCAGAAGACGCTGGTCTCTTACCTCGTGTATATACAGTGACACATGACGACATGACGGCTGACCTATTTTTGACGATTAGTTCAGCCGTTGACGTCAAACAGGTGTGCAACTGCACCCCCCCTCCCTCCTCCCCCCTCCCCCCACCCCCCTCTTCCCCCCTTTTACTTTATCCGCAAATGTCGAATTAAAATCATACACCTTTTTTTTCCTTGGTCAGCTAGATGGATGGTCATCGAAGCTCTTCCGCGACGAAGTCGTAGGGGAGTGGAAAGTACGACAAAAGGCCGAAGACGAGGTCCAATATTCCTTGCATCTTCACTGTCATGTTAGCGGGTCTCATTCATTCCTCGCGCCCCCTGTCATCCGAAGCTGGATATTTGAAAGAGAAATGCCATTGGTGAGCACCATAGTATATTGTTTGATCTGCTGATGAAGCTTGTCGTTTGACGCTCAGTTGACTAACCCTAGCATGTATTGTTGTCTCCGCCAACAGGTTTTGGAGTCCATCATGTTCGCTGAGAAGGCTTTGCTCGCTTCTCATCCAGGTAAGCACTTCACTATATTGTGTGCTTCACTATTGTGTGAACCTACTCATAGATCGTGTGCTTCACCATTGTGTGAACCTACTCATTATCTACTTCGCAACTGGTTGCAGATCTTACCGCCGCAACTGTATGGATCCACTACCACTCCCACTCGCCCAGCTTCGACAGAGCAGATTGCTGGGGTCCTCTGCACAGCAGTGTATCGCGTTCCAGGGATGACGCGACTCTACTAGACGTTTTGGGCATCTGTTTAAGAGACTTGTTTCGCTGGCCATTTGACAGCCCAGACGTTCCAAGTGCTCCCGCTCCAGCCTTACCCGTTCAACCGCAGTACAATCCCATTAGACAGCCCCGACCACAAACGCTGGCTCTTATTTCCAGAAAACACCCAGAGCAAGTGTTTGTTCCGGTAGTTCTGGGTTTCGTCTATGTTTTGAATTGTGTTTTTCTCATGAACGTTCTTGCTGCCACAATGCAGTGAGAACCATTCAATTTGTCAATAGAACCGTGCGGCTGCTGCTGCAATTATGGTGATTACTGAGTCCTTTGTTTCAAGGCCCCATTCCGTTATACTGGTAATAAATTAATACGATGCCAAGAGCTGTTGCCATGTGTGCAAATATTATGTTAGCATATGATACCAGTTGCTTCTTCAGCTGACCAGGTACAAGCTGACCAGTCGTGGTTTTGTTGGTGTAGTATACAGAGCAAGGCATAATAATCTGATGTATGCACTAGCCTGACAAGGTCAGTAGTTAGTTACCATGCATTTACAGTCCATTCTTCGTGGCTCATAATCATGACTCATGAGTCATGACGGCTACACACGGTGGAAAACAGTTTATGTTCCGATGTGCAACAATCAGACTGCAAATAATGTTTAGGAGGAGCATGAGACATGACCTGACCGGTAATCGTGACCTTACCATACCACAGCAAGAGTTGGTGGCCCAAGTCCTTGTTCATAACATCAACTCAACAGGTCTAAAACACACGTTCGTGCAACAGGTCTAACAAGTAGCAATTTCTCCCCCTGATTTCACTGGTTTATTAAAAGCAGCCCACCACACCTCAATAAATGTGCAGCAATAGGTCTATAGTACACTAATTAAACTCCCGAGTCCCCACCCCCAACAAACACCATTCAGTAAACGAAGCCTGCATGGCTAACAGCTGTTTAGGCACAGCAACAGATTTAATTAAAATGCTGCAACTCGGACAAATCCCCACTGGATGACTCTGCTTCAATCAAATCACGGAGCTTGGCGGCCCTGCATTGATAGCATATGGAGAACCATGGGCAGGATTTGAAACAAACATAAGATATACTGTGTGATGATTTAACTTCGTACACAAGCTGCAAGCGAAGCCAGAGACGTACCACAGTCGAATCCAATGAAAGCGAGGGAGCTGCTGCAGCGGGTGCGAGCGCAGAAGTCGAACGCAGTGTCCTCAACGGCTGCCTTGAGAGGTGCAAAGCCCGCCGGACAGGAGCAGGTCGGGGGCGAGCCGTCAGTGGGAGATGTGCAGAGCGCTTCAACGGGGCATGCTGCCGGCACCATGCACTTGCGGGTAACTGGAATGGGGGGAAGGGGAGCAGGGGAGAGCATTTTCAAGTCAAGGGGAAGCTGACCCATCAGGGGAAGCTGTGCAGAGCGCTTCCACGGGGCATGCTGCCGGCACCATGCACTTGCGGGTAACTGGAATGGGGGGAAGTGAGCAACGAGGAGCAGGAGGGAGCAGGGGAGATAATTCAATAGTAGACTGTGCAGGTCGGGGGCGAGCCATCAGTGGGAGATGTGCAGAGCGCATCCACGGGGCATGCTGCCGGCACCATGCACTTGCGGGTAACATGAATGGGGGGAAGGAAGGAGCAGGGAGCAGGAGGGAGGAGCAGGGAGGAGGGAGCAGCAGGTAGCCACAGGGAGCGAAGGAAACCAGGAAGTTGAGGAGTTTGAGAAAATATCAAGATCCTTAATTCCTTAGGGGAGGAACTGGAGCAAGGTTGTAAAAGGTGCGATTGGGATGGGTAGTAGCAGGGGGTGGAGAGAAGACTGAGGAGCTTGATGGGAGATGGAATTTGGTACGTTTGAGTTGTTGGAATGATGATACAAGTGAAGACGGGTTGCACCCACACAAAAGAGGTGGAGATAAGTGTGTGTATTATGCATCCTCAATATGGGAAGATGCTGTGATGGAGAGAGAACATTCACTCGCATCGGTTGATACATCGGCGGACGGAACACAATGGCGAGAGAACATTCACTCGCATCCCAAAGCGAGAACTTCGGTTGGCGAGAGCACAAAGATTGGCGAAAACAATATTCGCGAGAGAATATTTACTCACTCGTGCACGACGGCGAACCAGCCTCGCGAAGGCACGAGCACCCTCCCACGTCCAGCGCGTCTTGGCACACGAGCCGCGTCAAGCACTTCTGCCGCACTCCGAGCTTGCACGTCGCAGCGCCTGAGAATTCACATGGAACAAAGGGGACGAGACGAATTAGAAAACAAGACATTCGTTCAGAAGGGGCAAATGAAAATATTCAAACACACGCCTACGCGAATGTGGGCGTAAACTGCAACGAGAAAAAGTGATCGGTTCACGAAGCAATGGGAGAGGAATGGGGATCAGGGAAGAGGTGCCCGGCAATGGGGTGACGCGGGAAACATGGGAGAGCGTAAACGTAAACTGTAATGCGATGTACGCATCTTGCATGAAGGAAAACAAACAAGTACTCAACAAGCGATGGACCCTGTGAAGTCAGTCAACTGTGTACCTGACGCGCCAAACACATCAGCTGATAGCGAGGATGCAGTCGCTCCTCCACCTCCGCTCCCACTCTTGGACATTGACTTTTTCTTCTTCTTGGGCGGCTTTTTCTTGGGCTTCTTAACAGGAGCCTTCTTAGGGGGAGGCGGACGCGGCGGAGGGGAACGGGGGGGAGGCGGAGAGGCGGCAACTGCGGGCGGCGGTGGCGAACTGGCAGTGGCGGAAGGATCTGGGTCGGCTCCAACGGAAAGGTCCGCGGAAGCTTCTTTGGCGCCTGGCGGGGAGAGAACGCCGGACGCGGAAGGCAGGACGGGAGGAGTCGAGCTGTTAATAACGGGTACAGCGACTGGTGGAGGCGGGCTCGCTATAACGGGCACGGTGACAGGAGGAGGCGGGCTGCTTACAACCGGAACGGCGACTGGTGGAGGCGGGCTGTTTATAACGAGTTCAACTGTCGGAGGATGCGTCCTGCTTGCATCGGTTTGAGCAGGGGGAGGGGGGCAGCTTGTAACGGATTCGACTACTGGGGGAGGCGGGGAGAGAGTGCTCGAGACCGCTAGCGCGAGCGGAGGCAACGGGGGAGGTGGGGAATCCACAGGGGGTGGTGGAGAATACACAGGAGGAGGCGGAGAGCTGACAAGGGGAAGGGGAAGAAGGGGGATGGGAGGTGGCGAGGGAGGGGGAGACGGGGGAGGGGAGGACAGCAGCGGAGGGGGAGACGGGACAAGTGGAGGAGGGGAGGCGACGAGCGGAGGGGGAGAAGCGACAAGTGGAGGCGGGGAGGCGACGCGCGGAGGGGGCGACGCTACAAGTGGAGGCGGGGAAGCGACGAGCGGAGGGGGCGACGCGACAAGTGGAGGCGGGGAAGCGACGAGCGGAGGGGGCGACGCGACAAGTGGAGGCGGGGAAGCGACGAGCGGAGGGGGCGACGCGACAAGTGGAGGCGGGGAAGAAACGAGCGGAGGGGGCGGGGAAGAGGCAAGTGGAGGAGGGGGGGAATTGAGCGGAACGGAAGTGTCGGTGACGGTGCTGGCGGATTGATCTGTCACCATTCCAGTGGTGCCGGGGGGAGACGGAGGAGGAGGGGGACGAGGCGGAGGGGGGGGACGCGGAGGAGGTGGCTTAGGCGGACTGGGCGGCGGCTTCGGCGGCGGAGATGGCGGCGGCGGTTTCGGCGGCGGGCTCGGCGGCTTGGGCGGCGGCGGCGGGGAAGGCGGTTTCGGCGGAGGAGGCGGACTTGGAGGCGGCTTTGGCGGGGGTGATGGCGGCGGCGGCTTCGGCGGGCTGGGCGGATTAGGGGGCGGCGGCGGGGACGGCGGAGGGCGCGGTGGGGGAGGCCTGGGGGGAGGCGGGGACGGCGGCGGTGGCGACGGCGGCGAGCGATTCGCGACGAATTTCTGAACGCAAACCGCGCTGGAGAAAAAGCTCGAACCCGACTCGGTACCCCCGAGCGGCACGAATCCCGTCGTGTCGGTATCTATCGCGCCGTCCGCTGCAAGCGCCATCGCGTATACGCCTTCGGGAAGCGCGAGTAGCGCCAGCGCCGGGCTGCTGGGATACACCGCGAGCTCCCCGCCGTCATATGCGGCGGTGGAGTATTGAAAGGAGCCTAAGTACGCCGCCGAGGCGCATCCTCCTGCCTCCGTGTAGCCAATCGCGTCCATGGTCCCCAAAAAGGTCGCGCCTCGGGACGCCATGAGCGTAGACGTGCCGCCGTAATTCGCGGCGCTGGTAACCAGCACGTTCTTATTCTGCGGATCCACGCCGAGTGATCCGGGCGTGCCTGTCGTCAGCACTGTTGTCGATAGCGGCGGCGGGAGCGCGGTTCCCGCGAGCGGAAGTGCGTACGTGTAGAGAATGTTCGTGTCGTACCGGAGAATGGCTAAGAAGCCGCCGCCGGGAGAACAGACGGCCTGCCGCGCCGCGTACGACGCCGAAAACATCTTAATCGCCGCATTGGCTTGGAAATTCCCAGTCGTCGGATCTATCGGCACAACGACCACCACGTCAGAATCGTCAGCCGTGACGTGGCAGGTGAGCACGAGGAAATCCGAGGGGGAGGCGGCTGGCGAAGAGCAGAACGAAGCGGAAAGACACTGGTAACCCGCTCCGACGAGCTTGCGCGACGAGCCCGTCACCCGGTCTACTGAAACCGCACCCGCCGCTGTCTCCGACCCATCCGCTACCACCAGAAGATTCTCGGAAGGTCCCCCAAGCGCTACAACCGTTCCTGAAAACCCGCCGGGGAGAGCCACGGGCGGTAGCGGCACCGCGCCGTCTAGGGTGTAGTTAATCGCGTTTAGATACGAGCCGCCCGAAGATAAGTAGGCCGTGCCGTCGGTCGCGACGCCGCAGGAAGTGAGCTGCGCGTTAGCGTTGCTGTCGGCTTTGCTGGAATAGCCTATTTCGCGACGCGTTCGGAGATTAATCTCCCATACCTGGGACGTCGTGTCGCCTGTGAGGGGATCGTACACGCCGCCGCCTACTATCGCTACCGGGAGGCCTATTGTCGAGTATTGGCATAGCGCGGGGGACGGAAGAAGGGCGAAGGACATGAAGAGGAGGAGAAGTGGCGCCGCCGTGAGTGACGCCGCGATTGCCGCCGCCGGTCCACGTGGGGATCCCACGTGGCGGCGCGGCGGCAGCCGCACAGCCATTATGTGGCCGTAAGGAAAGGTTCCGTCAGCTAAGTGGGATTCATCCTGATGACGCGGCGGAATGTGCGGCGGAATATGCGGCCAAGGACAATGAGAATGCGTGTCCGAGGTGGGTTATTAGGGAATGAGATTCGACGGGTAGGTAAGGTTGGGGGTCAGGACAGGATGCTCACGCTGCGTCGGTTATGGTGGGAGGCAATGGCGCATGTGGGGAGGGTGGGCTGGCTGGCGGCTTGGCAGAAGAGATTTGTTGTTCAGGGGTTCATCAGTCTTCAGAACTGACTGGACTGAATTGAACAGAAGGCAACGCAACGGGGGCTGGGTGTTGTTTGTGGGGCTGGCGAAATTGGAGTGCGGAACAGTGCGTAGTGGGGTCCTCTTCTACACCGCATCCACAACGCAGTCCTTTGTGTGTGGTGTGGTCCTCCTCTGACCCGACGTGTAGTGTACCGTGTGTAACGACATGGCTGGATGTAACGACGACAATCAGACGTGTTTGAAATTGTCGTGTTGACAACGATAGACTTCTCGTGGCGAGGAAGCGTGATAGAAGAGGAGTGAAGTGGGATTGGGTTGGTAAGTTGGAGGATGTGCCATGATGCGTCGTGGCGAGGAGAGGCGATGGAAATGCAGCAGAGTGAACTTGAGTTGAGAATCTCCTCCACCCCCATCAAGTAATCGAACAAGCAACCATGTCATCGTCGTGCGCATGGAGCGATGAAACGAACGAGTGAAAGGATGAATCGGCGGGCATGCGGGTTCCGTACACCTTGCACCATAACGTGTACCACAGAAACAGTCACGCGTCTGGGTGGGAGATGTTTTGGTTGGGTTGAGGGAAGTGCCTGGGTTTGCAGATGAAACGCATACACGTAGATTGCAATGTAGCAGGACCTCAAGCATGGTGGTGGTGTGGTGTGGTGATGGCGGTGAATCTGCCCCGAATTTGCATGGATCTTCACCTGCCCCTTCCTCGCTCGAATCGCAGATTCCCTTGAAGGCAGTTTGGCTACCCCGGGTGGTTCATTCAGTTGAGACTTTCGAGTGGCTGCAACATGGACGCAGCAACTCCAAATTGTTGGCCAGGATAATAACAAAATGGTTTGGAAGTGTAATCGTGTAGAAGGTGTACACCCTCTTTCTCACCTATCTCACCGGCGGAAGCACTGGCTACAGTGTTTGGACGTAGCGGGCTGGTGAGATAACTCGGTTGCGGGCAAAGTCGCACGAGGGTTTGAAACACGCCTTGGGCCGTAAAAAACCATTAACGTTGAATAACCATCCCAACTGCTTTGAAAACAACAGTACCGTTCCAGAACTTAAAAAATCTTGACTAAACGCCCTGGGTCAAATTGTCACTATAACGCATGTGATAGGACCTTCTTGGGTCCGGTGCGGTCACACTAAGCGTCTTGGTCAGTATAACATATGCCAGTCTATCGAGAATGAGGGTGTACTATCCATTTTGACAACCGTAGTGATATTTCTCTCTTACACCCAAGCTGTCTTTCTCGCCTGGCTACCATTGCCGTTATGAGCCAGCCTGAAAAAATCTGACCTGAAGGCAGAGCGCAGGTGGCTGCCACACTGGCCCTGTGGACGAAGTTCTGTCTTCCAGGTGGGTAGCCAACTCTACCAACTTCTAGGGTGGGCAAACTTGCGCGACGCGACAGACCACGAACTTCTCTCAATCCTATCGACCGATCTCGCACCGCATGTAGGGCGACCGAACCCCCCGCAAATGAATCGACTTACATGCGCTTTTGCGATTGTATCTGCCATTTTTGACGGGTTGGAGTCGGTGTTCCCTCTCGATATCATTGTGTCGCGTGAAGTCGTAACTATTGCTACATTGGTTTGTTTTTTGTTTGCAAGGTTTTCTGTTTCCGGTGGCATTTTTTTCGCCATCTGTCCATCGCGATTTTCTGAAACTTTTAAGGCGCATGAAACTTAAGCTGGGGCTGACAAAAAAAAACCCCTTAAAGGGAGTGACGCAATTCGGGATGCATCAACCCTAAACACAGGAACTGGCAAGGTGTTTAGGGTTGATGCATTTAAAGCGGTGCCTGGCTCGCTAGGGGTTTTAGTTGTTTTTACACCGTTTAAAAAACAAGTCATTAAAATTTGCTAAGACAAGCCTTGTTGGCGCGTCTAGACTGAAGTGACGTAGCAGGTCGCAAAATTTGTCTTTGATGAAAGAAATGAAATCCCGGGCTGTAATCTCGCGATTCTGACTGTAACACAAAAGAGAAGCTTTCGCTGCATGAATATAATGTGGAAGCGCATGTAGGTCGATCCATTTGGATGAGGTTTGGTCGACCTACCTGCGGTGCGAGCCTGGTCGATGGAATTTAGAAAAGTTTGTGGTCTGTCGCGTCGCGCAATTTTGCCTCTAGGGTGCGACGAATCTGTACTCGCATTGACAGACTCAATTTCCTATGTAATATGCATTACGATTAGAAGTAGAAACAGTCATACCTCACAATCTTACTTTGTGACTGCGTAACTCCTTTTACACGAATGACCGGTAAAATATTTCCGCAAGGAGTCTCGTCGTAATCAACCGACCAGTAAAATTACTCGAGCACTCTCCTATAGCGTACAAAGCCTGGCATTATTCCCCCCAAATGACAACGCCAAACCTGCGACCGAACCAATCGCAAGGCAGCCACAGCAGGTCTATCCTCTCCCGACCAATTTACCTGCCAAGCTCCTCGGTGTTACCCAGTGTCCGAACCAACCTGCCAGCAAGTTCGCGCCCTCTGTGACCAGTGAAGTTCAGTGGAGTGAATTTAATTTTGGTCAACTGCATTCAGGTATTTGACTAGTGTTCTTCCCGCGCAAGAGGCGCGACCATTAACCTTGCTCGGGGTTACGTTCAATTCCCTGATCGTAGGAAGGATTGATTGACGCGTGTTCCAACGATTTCGTGCAAGTCCTGCTCCTGCATTTGCGCGCGACAAGTATGTCAGGCTCGAAGAAGCTCATAAATGACCCGTCAGGTGCGAAACTGTAGCTCCACGCCATCTCGTCTCGCTTACGCGATTTATATTTTCCCGCTTTGCGAAACTCTCTAAAACGGCCAGTTTTCAGGCGTAGGTTCTGTATGCGTTGGCATTTATGTTCAAGTAAAACGCCTTGAAGCTCGTATGTGCATGCGAATAAGACTCGCTGTGAGTCGTCAGAGAAATACAAACTTCAGCTGCACTGGCTGAGCTCACTTCCGCCTTGCTGCATGTTCATGGGTCTAAATAATTCAGAATTTCTCCAATTCCGGGTGTAATTGCCGCGCAGATGTGGTCCTCGAGATGATCGAGGGCTTGGTGGAGACCTACCCCAACCTACAGTACCTCGACGGCTTCCCTGACGTGAGTTGCTTCTCTCAGGCGCCTCAAAGTTGTAAGGGTTTAAGTGGATTTTTGGAAAACAACCTAGAGATACCGTTTGGGACCTAAATGGCTTCCTGGACGTTTGTCTGGATGGCTTTCGTGACGTGGAGTGGAGGTCCATCATAATGAGCGGGACAATTCTTTGTGCAAGAACATCTGTGTTCTGATTCCATCTTGATTTTTCAACTTTGAATATGCTGACTCATAATGAGTACCCGTCAACTAGCGATCTGTCCCGCTTAGCAACAGGGAGTGGCTCAAGTCTCTGGCTATACAAAGCAAGAGGATATTCTCAAAATCCCAGCGTGCGTCAGCTGCAGAAAATTATGAAATGTTCCTGGCGAAATCAATGCAGGTGAAGGTGGTGCTGCGAGCTGACGTCAGCAGAGGGACGTACGGGAAGGTGGCAATCATTTCGGGCGGCGGGAGCGGGCACGAGCCAGCACACGCAGGGTTCGTGGGGAAGGGCATGCTCACTGCCGCGGTGTGTGGGGATGTCTTCGCCTCGCCTTCAGTCAACGCTGTCCTCATGGTATGGTATGGTATGGTATGGTATGGTATGGTATGGTATGGTATCGTATGGTATCGTATGGTATGTATGGTAGTAATTATTTGGCTCGAGTCAGCTCATGCAGGGTTCGTGGGGAAGGGCATGCTCACCGCCGCCGTGTGTGGGGATGTATTCGCCTCGCCTTCTCATGGTGGGTGAGCATCGCATATGGTGAGTGAGAAGAATAAATGAATGTCGGCAAATGGTGAAGGGTGAAGCTGATTGACTCCGGAGGAGAAGGGTGAAGCTCACAGTCTCTCTCGAATTGACATGCATTGAGTCGACTCAAAACACAAAAGGGTGAAGCTCACAGTCTCTCTCGAATTGACATGCATTGAGTCGACTCAAAACGTGTTTTGAGTCGACTAAAAACACAAAAGGGTGAAGCTCACAGTCTCTCTCGAATTGACATGCATTGAGTCGACTCAAAACACAAAAGGGTGAAGCTCACAGTCTCTTTCGAATTGACATGCATTGAGTCGACTCAAAACACAAAAGGGTGAAGCTCACAGTCTCTCTCGAATTGACATGCATTGAGTCGACTGAAAACGTGTTTTGAGTCGACTCGAAACACAAAAGGGTGAAGCTCACAGTCTCTCTCGAATTGACATGCATTGAGTCGACTCAAAACACAAAAGGGTGAAGCTCACAGTCTCTCTCGAATTGACATGCATTGAGTCGACTCAAAACACAAAAGGGTGAAGCTCACAGTCTCTCTCGAATTGACATGCATTGAGTCGACTCAAAACACAAAAGGGTGAAGCTCACAGTCTCTCTCGAATTGACATGCATTGAGTCGACTCAAAACGTGTTTTGAGTCGACTCGAAACACAAAAGGGTGAAGCTCACAGTCTCTCTCGAATTGACATGCATTGAGTCGACTCAAAACACAAAAGGGTGAAGCTCACAATCTCTCTTGAATTGACATGCATTGAGTCGACTCAAAACGTGTTTTGAGTCGACTCAAAACACAAAAGGGTGAAGCTCACAGTCTCTCTCGAATTGTCATGCAGTAGATTTACAAGCCACGCCGCTGGCGTATTGTTGGACGACGCCGAGAG